GTGCAGAGAAGAGCAACAAAGATGATCAGGGGACTGGAGGCTAAAACATACAAGGAACGGTTGCTGGAATTGGGGATGACTAGTTTTAATGGAAATAAAGAATAAAGACTAAGGGTGACATGATAGCAGTCTTCCAATGTCTTACGGGGCATGAAGAGGGGGTCAACTTATTTTTCAAAGCCCCTGAAGGCAGGACAAGAAGCAATGGGTGGAAACTCATCAAGGAGAGAAGCAACCTAGAACTAAGGAGGAATTTCCTGACAGTGAGAACAATTGGGACCAGCAACTTGGCCATTAAGTAAAGCAGTCGCTAAGTGAAATGGCCGCTGTGCTTAAGATCTTCCGACAGCTTTCCTTTTCTTTATAGCTGGATTTGTCCATTTCAGCAACTTTGAAGAGGGGTGGACTTCAACTCCCAGAATTCCCTGGCAGCTAGGGAATTCTGGGAGCTGAAGTCCACCCTTCTTCAAAGCTGCCAGGGGTTGAAAAAAACCCGCCCTAAGTCAAGCTTACCTATTCATTTAGCTGTCAACCTTTGAGCCACAAAGATCTCTATCAGCCTTTAATCATGCTCTTCTCACCAGTACTATTTTGCAGTGTGTTATTTTGCTATCTCATCTGGAAAGGATGTGAGAATCCTTTGCCCAGAAATCTGAAAAGCACTTAGGTTTTTATGGAGCTATAAATGGGAAAGTAGATGGGGAAAGGGCGTAGTAGATTCCCAGGGGAGCCATGGCAGATCAAGAACAGGGCAGCGTAGCTTAGCAGGGTGGGGTAAACAAGGGCAAACTAGGGGTGGGGCTGGGCATGTTTCACTTCGATGTATTTATTATCTTCCTGTTTTATTAGATTTTTTTTATCCTGCCTTTATTGCTTTATATGAACTCAAGGTGGTGAACGTACCTAATACTTCTTCCTCCTCCTTCTATTAACGACCCTGTGAGGTGGGTTGGGGTGAGATGGAGGGGATTGCCTCAAAGTCACCCAACTGGCTTTCATGCATAAGGTGGGATTAGAACTCACCGTCTCCCAGTGATTGGTCCAAAGTCACCCAACTGGCCTTCATGCCTAAGGTGGGACTAGGTCTCCCAGTGATTGGTTCAAAGTCACCCAATCAGCTTTTACGCCTAAGGTGGGACTAGAACTCACCGTCTCCCAGTGATTGATTCAAAGTCACCTAGCCAGATTTCACACCTCAAGACAGTACTAGAACTCACTGTCTCCCAATGATTGGCCCAAAGTCACCCAGCTAGCTTTCATGTCTAAAGTAGGACTAGAACTCATGAGTTTCAGCCTTTACAACATTGTTTTATTAGACTGTAAACCACTCAGAGCTGGGAGATAGAAAGATGGGCAGTGAAACTAATCAAGGAGAGAAGCAACCTAGAACTAAGGAGAAACTTCCTGACAGTGAGAACAATTAATCAGTGGAACCGCCTGCCTCCAGAAGCAGTAAATGCTCCAACACTGGAAGTTTTTAAGAAGAGACTGGACAGCCATTTGTCCGAAATGGTATAGGGTTTCCTGCCCGAGCAGGGGGTTGGACTAGATGACCTCCAAGGTCCCTTCCAACTTTACTACTATTATTATTATTAATAATAATAAAAATGAATTAACCAGAAAAGGATTTCCTTTCCACAAAGAATCTGAGACCTAGTAGGAGAGTCATTTTAGGCTAGGGCAGCCCAAACCCAGGAAGAGTCTGGTAGGATCTGTAAAAAGGGTTGCTAGATCCCAGCTTTTAATCAAGACCAAGGTTTCTACATTCTCAAATACACTGTGCACAAAGAAATATTGCAGAATATATTGCGCAGAAATAAATCCATTCAGAACATACAGCTAGTCCTCAAGTTACAATCATTGGTTTAGTGACTGTTTGAAGTTTACAACGTCCCTGAAAAAAGTGACTTAGGACCTTTTTTCACATTTACGACCGTTGCAGCATCGTGGTCACGTGATCAAAATTCAGACGCTTGCCAACTGACTCATATCTATGACGGCTGCAGCATCCTGGGGGTCACGCAGTCCCCTTTTGCAACCTTATGACAAAGAAAGTCAATGGGGGAAAGCCTGATTAGCTAGCCGTGTTACCAACTGATCTTCAATAATTCGCTTAAAAACTGTGAGAAAAAAGGTTGTAAAATGGGGCCAAAATCACTTAATTGTCTCGCTTAGCAACAGGAACTTTGTGGCTCAATTGTGTTCGTAAGTCGAGGACTACCTGTTATCACTCTCCCCATGGAGAAACAGCTCTTCTAATGAAGGACCCCCCCCCCAAAAGAAATCAAGAATGACAGCCAAGAGCTGGCTGAAGATGAATTTCAGAAAAGAGCCAATATAGTCGCACACGCTCGCGGGAAACCAAGGCGCCGTAGGCGACACTCCGAGGTGTGATGAAAAAGTTCCATTTTTAGTGACTCGCCTATATTTCCCGGGCAAAACTAACCATATAACGCATCTTTAAAAAAAAAAAGTAAGTAAGTAAAAGAAAACCCACACAAACCTGTCAGCTGTCAAACCACAGAAGGCCTGCGAAGAATTTAAAAAAGGAAGGAAGGAAGGAAGGAAGGAAGGAAGGAAGGAAGGAAGGAAGGAAGGAAGGAAGGAAGGAAGGGGAGGAGGAGGAGGAGGAGGAGGAGAAGGAGAAGGAGGAGAAGAAGAAGAAGAAGAAGAAGAAGAAGAAGAAGAAGAAGAAGAAGAAGAAGAAGAAGAAGAAGAAGAAGAAAAAGAAGAAGAAGAAGAAGAAGAAGAAGAAAAGAAAGAAAGAAAGAAAGAAAGAAAGAAAGAAAGAAAGAAAGAAAGAAAGAAAGAAAAGAAAGAAAGAAAGAAAGAAAGACTAATAAGGCCTTTGGCCGTCTGCAGCTTGGCTGGGTGTCAAGAGGATCATTGTGCTGGTTACACAACTGAATCACCTACAATTTAATCACCCCTGTTTCAGAACCGAAGGGCGTGATAAAGCGGACGGTGACCTGGATAGGTGGGAGAAGACGCAGATGTTAAAAATAAACTGTGACTACGCTTAGCTCTTTCTTTAGGATGGAGGGGAGGAGAGCTCACAGCTCAAAAAGGATAGATCTATTACACACACACACACACACACACACACACACACGAAATCTTGCAGTGGGCATGTGACAGAGAGGAGAGAGACTAGCATCATTTTAGGACAGGGGTGGGAAACTGCAGCTAGTCCTTCCAACTTGCAACAGTTCATTTGGTGATCGTTCAAAGTTACAACGGCACTGAAAAAAAGTGACTTATGACTGTTTTTCACACTTACGTCCGTCGCAGCATCCCCATAATGACGGGATCAAAATTCAGACGCTTGGCAACTGACTCATAGTTATGACTATCGCCATGTGCCGGGGGTCTTGTGATCCCCTTTTGCCACATGCAAAGTCCACGGGGAAGCCGGTTTCACTTAACGTCCGTTGAGTCACTTAACCAACGTGGCAAGAAAGGTCGTAAAACGGGGCCAAAATCACAGGAATTTGGGGCCCCATTGTAGCCGTACGTCAAGGGCTACCTGGGTTTTTCAACCTTGGCAAGTTTTAAGATGGGTGGATTTCCCTAACCGGCATGGTGTTAAAATGGATGGACTTCAACTCCCAGAACTGCCCAGCCAGCGTGCTTGAGGTTGTGGGGACTTCAACTCCCAGAATTCCCCTCGGTTAGTAGACTTCAACTCCTAGAACAGAGGTCTTCGAACTTGGCCCTTTGATAACTTGTGGACAGAATTCCTCAGCGTGCCTGGCTGAGGAATTCTGGGAGTTGAAGTCCACAAGTCATCAAAGGGCCAAGTTTGAAGACCTGTGTCTTAAATCTAACAAACAAAATGGAGGCTGGCTAAGTAATTCTGGGAGCTGAAGTCCACAAATCATCAAAGGGCCAAGTTTGAAGACCCGTGTCTTAAATCTAACAAACAAAACGGAGGCTGGCTAATGAATTCTGGCAGCTGAAGTCCACAAGTCACCAAAGGGCCAAGTTTGAAGACCTGTGTCTTAAATCTAACAAACAAAATGGAGGTTGGCTAAGGAATTCTGGGACCTAAAGTCCACAAGTCATCAAAGGGCCAAGTTTGAAGACCCGTGTCTTAAATCTAACAAACAAAATGGAGGCTGGCTGAGGAATTCTGGGAGCTGAAGTCCACAAGTCATCAAAGGGCCAAGTTTGAAGACTCCTGTCTTAAATCTAACAAACAAAATGGAGGCTGGCTGAGGAATTCTGGGAGCTGAAGTCCACAAGTCACCAAAGGGCCAAGTTTGAAGACCCCTGTCCTAGACTGTCCATCCAAAATCAATGCCAACAAGAGTTTGTGAGAATGTGATAGTTAAATGCAATAGGATCAAAGGAGCTCCAGCTTGCTTTAATCACCACTTTGCACGGCAGCTTAGGCTGAAAAGCCCACGTGGTTGCAGATGATACGTTGGCTGAGCTGAGGATTTTCCTAGGCTGAATCCACCCAGGCTCCTGTCGGTTCTCCTTTGTTCGCTTATCCCAAACGCCTCTGGGAGAAGAGACAGAAACCGTGTGAAGAATTGTGTGTATGTGTAAAGAATACAAGGAATGGCTTACTCAGGCTACACAGCCCAAACCTTTTCCCCTAATTCAGCTGTTGCAAAGGCTGCTTCATGCAAATCCTGCGGGTTGCCAGTCAGCCAGTAAGGCATGTTCTCACTTGCAAAAAAAAAAAAAAAAGATTGTTTTCATCAACGGCCTACAGCACTGGAAGCTCAGGTGTTTTGCAGCTGCGGCTTTCCACCCCAGCGCTATCAACAAGCTTCATCTGATAAAACTGGGTGGCAGGTCTTTTAACCCCCCCCCATGGGTAAAGCACTGATTTCATGCGGGGGGGGGGGAAGCAGCAGCCGCAGCAAAGCTAACCAGCAGCTATTTGCATATGTAAAAGAGCAAGGAGGAAGAGAAATTGTTTTTTTTTTCCCCTTCCCAGGTAAGACCGCTCAAGGTGAGGCAGCTGTGAAAGCAGTGCTCCGCCCTACCTCTTAACACCCCGTGCCAGCTCCCGAAGCAGAACCTCCTTATTCAGAGGGAGTCTATCTGCCAGTCTGGTTTCTTCCCCGAGACACAAAAATCTTGTGGATTTTTCTTTTTTTTCCATTCTCTTCCAGCAAATCTCCTTTTCAGTTCAGATCCAAAAATTATGATCCAGCCTTTTTGAGGGCATTTCTCCCCCCCCCCCCGTCTCTCTCTAGCTGTTGGATGTCCAAAACTTAATTCAGCCCATTTGGTAATAAGGCACGTCGGAGGGGGGGGAATCTTTCCACTTTTCAGTTCATTAAATGAAAGACTTTTTTTCTTTTCTTTTTTTTTTAAGTGATCTATTCAAGTCACCTCCTTCAAAAAGTGAAAAATGAGCCTCTTGAGGGTGAATTCACCACCTAAATAGAGAGATCCCATTTATTATGCTGCTGCTATTAAAAATAATGAGTTAGCTGGCATCCTTTAGAACAGTGGTTCTCAACCTATTTAATGCCGCGACCCCCAACCGGTCGTAAGTCGAGGACTACTCAACTGGTGCAGCACCGTTTGCAGAATGGGACTTTTGCCGGGCTCAGCAGGGCAGAGACAGCCTGGACAATTCCTATGGGCTTTTGAAAGCCAATCGAATTAGACTCTATTCAAGAGAGTCTATTCTATTGGCTTTCAAAAGCCAATAGAATAAAAGGGAGGAGCACAGCTAAGGAAAAAGGGGGGAAAAAATGGCGGACTGCGTTGTTTGGCGACCCCCGTGAAATGGCCGTTCGACCCCAAATGGGGTCCCGACCCACAGGTTGAGAACCACTGCTTTAGAAGTTCCCTCACCTGCTGCCCCATCAGTTGTGTTGACCTTGATTCATACAATCCGCAGTCAGTCTGGTCCACAACTGTCGGCTTTAAAACAAAGGTCTCCGTGTGTGTCTATCAAAGGGGAGCGGAGCAGGGACAGGAAGATTTAAAGAACCATTTCAGAGGCAGTTCTGTCCGTTTTGGTTCAAGTGGAGATCTTGCTGGGCGTCTAGAAAGTTCTCTCTTTTTCCCGTTGGGTGGGAAAGTCCATGTTCTCGTGGTTGTCCATCCCCACAATGTAACACTGGGGCAACATTTCTTCCAGGAGAATTCGAATTAACAGCGGATGAGGAACAGAAGGAAGGCTGGAGACATCTAAGCGTTCCAAATTTCTGCAAGAGAATTAACGTAGGGGTTTCCCCACTGCTTCCATTGACCCCACGTCTCTTGTCTGAAAAGATAACGCCTGCCGTCTCCTTATTTACTTTTTGTTTATATCCCGCCTTTACTATTTTACCAGCTTGAGATGGTAAACATGCCTAATACTAATACGTCTTCCTAACTGCCCCATAATAACAATCCTGCAAGGTGGACTGGCTAAGGAAGAGGGATTGGCCCAAAGTCACCAGGTTGGCTTTCATGCCAAAAGTTGGACTAGAACTTTCTGTCTCCTGGTGATTGGCCCAAAGTCACCCAGTCGGCTTTCATGTCCAAGGCGGGACTAGAACTCTTGTCTCCTAGTGATTGGCCCAAAGTCACCCAGTCGGCTTTCATGCCCAAGGCGGGACTAGAACTCTTGTCTCCTGATGATTGGCCCAAAATCACCCAGTCGACTTTCACCAGGAGGCTGTGAGTTCTAGTCCTGCCTTAGGCATGAAAGCCGGCTGGGTGACTTTGGGCCAATCACCAGGAGGCTGTGAGTTTTAGTCCCGCCTTAGGCATGAAAACCAGCAGGGTGACTCTGGGCCAATCACCAGGAGGCTGTGAGTTCAAGTCCCGCCTTAGGCATGAAAGGCAGCTGGTGACCTTATGCAAGTCCTCTCTCAGCCTAACCCATCTCTCCGGACTGTTGCAAGAAAAACAGGAGGAAATTGTGTTGGATATGTCAGTCACCTTGAGTTACTGGTAAAAATACTAAAGGCAAGATGCAAATAAATATATAACTCTCCCAGAGGTACCAGACTGTACCCCCCTGGCTTACAGACTGAGTTTACGATGGAAGAGTTCAAAATTCAAGCCGAGTATGTTGTAGTGAGTGCTGAAGAATGGGTCGGGCTACATGACCTCTAAAGTCCCCTTCCAACCCAAGGATGCCATGACTCACACCATGATCTAAAGCGCTTGGTATTCCCTGGAAAAGCTCCAGGTCTGCTTCTCTCTTTTCCCAGCCCTGGAGGGAAGCCCTGTGATTGAGACACGCCGATCCACGGCTGCACTTACTGAAAGTGGTGGAGACACGTCAGCCCTTTCTCAGTGATCCGGGAACAGCCCGCCAAAGACAAGGTTTGCAGGCTCTCCGCAAAGGGGTGCAGCTGGCTCAGGCACCAGTCGTCGATGAAGGAACATCTGCTCAGGTCCAAATGCTTCAGGCCCGTCAGGTTACCTGTGGGAGGATCCAGGAGGAAAGGAGATTGAAAAGCAGGTGGCAAACTCAAAGGCACAACCCCACCTGGAAGTCCGGGGAAACATCTGGGATACTTTTGCAGTAAAGGGGAAAAAAAAAAACCCAGGCCCAAGGTTGCAAATGGCCCTATAACTCATGGCGGGCAGGGAAGTTAGATGTAATTAAAATTTATGGGGTGCAGATTATAAATGTGGGCTAGGCCACAGCTAGGGTGGCGTAGCGGCTCTGGTGCCAAACTGGGAGTGGGGAGACACACACCTTCAAGTCTCTAGCCCGCCTCATGTCCTTCTTACTATCGCACCTCACAAAGGTGCTGCTGCAGCAGTAAAGAATGGGAATCTGCTACATCAGGGTCCCCAACCCCCACCCCCACCCAGGCCGTTCAGGACTGGCACCGCGGAAGCAACAAGCAACCCGCACATCCCCACTTGGTTCTCTCTCCACCCCCAGAAAGGTTGAGGCACTCTGGTGCTACCTAAGCCTGTAAAGCAGTGGTTCTCAACCTTTTTAATGCCGCGACCCCCAACCGATCGTAAGTCGAGGACTACTGAACCGGTCATAAGTCTAGGACTACTCAACCGGTCGTAAGTCGAGGACTACTCAACTGGTGCAGCACCGTTTGCAGAATGGGACTTTTGGTGGGCTCAGCAGGGCAGAGACAGCCTGGACAATTCCGATTGGCTTTTGAAAGCCAATAGAATTAGACTCTATTCAAGAGAGTCTATTCTATTGGCTTTCAAAAGCCCATCGAATAAAAGGGAGTAGCACAGCTAAGGAAAAGGGGGGGAAAAATGGCGGACTGTGTTGTTTGGCGACCCCCGTGAAATGGTCGTTCGACCCCAAATGGGGTCCCGACCCACAGGTTGAGAACCACTGTTGTAAAGAAAAGCAAGGTATAAAATTCATCCAAGTAGGAGGAGGGGGGTGAGAGGGAACAGGGGGAGGAGGGGGAATGGGAAGGAGGGAGGGGAGGAGAGGGAGGAGGGAAGGGGAGGAGAGGGGGGAAGGGCAGGGGAAAGGAGGAAAGGAAGGGCACAGGGAAGAGGGAAGGGGAGGAGGAGAGGAGAGGGAGGGGAAGAGAGGCAATAGGAAGGAGGAAGGGTAGGAGGGATGGGGAAGCGAAAGAGGAGAAAGAGGAGGGGCAGAGGGGCAATGGGAAGGAGGAAGGGCAGGAGGGGTAGGAGGGGGGCAGGAAGGGGAGGAGAGGGAGGAGGAAGGGGAGGAGAGGAGAGGGAGGGGGAGGAGAGGGCAGGGGAAGAAAGAAGAGGAGTATCACTGGTTCTTATAGGAATTCATTCAAGCCCATTCAACTGATGACCCTGTTCATCAATTCTGGCTAGCACACAGAATCTTCTCCATATCCCTAAGACATCCCAAAGACAGGGAAAATCTTGCACAACTGACACCTTCCGACCTTAAGAGTGCCTGACCGGTTGTCCGAATAGCCATTCTGACCCCAGCTAGGCCACCCCAAGCCTAACCTCCAAAACTGGTCGCCCGCATTTGGTCCCAAGCTTGGAACAAGCTCATTCCCACCTTAAGACCTTCTCCGGGCGTCTCATTTTAAAAGCCACCAGGCTGCCCTTCTTTACATCCAAACACCACGTTGTACAGAAGAGTCCTCGACTCACGACCGCAATTGGGAGCAGAACCTCTGTGGCTAAGCCAAGGCAGCCCTCCAGTCGTGCCCAATTGGACGGTCATTTTCGTCACGGCGGTGAAACGAATCATGGCAGTCGTTAAGCGAATCGGGCCGCCGTTGGGTAAACCTCGCTTCCCTCACTGACGCTGCTTGTCGGAAGGGGGATCACGTGACCCCGGGAGACCTCAACTGTCGTAAATGAACGCCAGTGTCCCAAAGTGTCCGAATTTTGATCACGTGACCGCAGGGAATGCTGCAAAATGGGGCTAGGACCCATTATCCGATGCAGTGATAACTTTGAACGGTTGCTAAATGAACGGTTATAAGCCGAGGACCACCTATACTGCATTTCAAAGCTTCCTGGGCCCCAAACGGAGCCCGGTTCCTCACCAAAGTTTTTCAGGCCGATGTAATTGATGACGGAGCCGCTGAGATCGATGGCTTCCAAGGACTTTCCACAATATTCTAAAAAATTTATGCCTTCTTCCTCTTTCGAGTCCACGCGATACCAATCCATTTGGTCCTGGAAACTAAAGCAGAATAAATCTGTTTTTCATTGGGGGGGGGGGAAATATTAAAATCTCCTGATCTCAATACAGGTAGCAGTTGAAGGAGTTCGCCACCTAATATTGAGACCCCAAATATTGTGGCCAGGTGTGAATCCAGGTGATTGGAAGGAAGGAAAAGATACAGTCCTCCCACCATGTGCTTGTGGATAAAACAGGCACCGCATACCGAATGGCCCCTTGCAGTTTCAGGACAAAGATGGCAGCTCCGATATCACTGCCATAACGCTCGTGCAGGTCGACGTCATACCTGTGGGTGGAAAAGGTTAAAAAAAAAACCCTCCTTGAGAAATTCTCTGGTTATGGAACACTTCCATGTCATGTGTGGACTACAATTCCCAGAGTTCCCTAGCCAGCATGCTTGAAGATTCCTGGACTACAATTCCTAGAATTACCCAGCCAGCATGCTTGAAGATTCCTGGACTACAATTCCCAGAGTTCCCCAACCAGCATGCTTTAAGATCCCTGGACTACAATTCTCAGAGTTCCCCAGCCAGCATGCTTGAAGATCCCTGGACTACAATTCCCAGAGTTCCCCAACCAGCATGCTTTAAGATCCCTGGACTACAATTCCAAGAGTTCTCCAGCCAGCATGCTCGAAGATCCCTGGACTTCAGTTCCCAGAATTCCTCAGCCAGCATGCTTGAAGATGTCTGGACTACAATTCCCAGTGTTCTAACCCATCTCTGTCCAATGCAGGAATCTATTCCTACAGCAAGAATTACAGGGAGCTTTTTAGAATCCCCCCAGGCACACCTACTTGTTTCCTTTTTCCATTTTCCATCTCTTTAACTTCTGGCTGATTTCCACAAAGCTTTCAATGTCGTAGAAGCGGCTGGTGAGAAAGTGAAATATCCCACTTTTCCGGGGACTGGAAGATAGACCCCCTGAAGTGCTGCTCAACCGAGAGCTGACGATGGACAAGGAGGTCAAACGCTTGCTCTGCCGGAGCTGCAGAGAGAACGAAGCAGAGGCCACGTTTTCAGCAAAGAAGGAAACTCCTGTTCCTTGAGATAAGCAGTGGCGGGATTGCTAGCACGTTTTCTTAAGTCACACTTCCTGCAGATCGCTAACCTCCTTACAGGTTGTCCTCATCTTACGACCACGGTTGGGACCAGAATTTCCGTTGGTGGAAAGGATTGACTACCTGTATCCTACAACAGGGAGGTTTTCTGATTGTGTAACACACCTAAGAGGATAAAGGATACAGCCCTGGGATTCTGGCAAGCTCTTCCACCCAAATACAAATCTATCCCTGTGTAGTTTCAGACACAAGCTGCCTTCTGTTGAGAGAGTGATTTTCCTCGATATAATAGCACCACCAGCTGGTCAGCATTTTAGCTACACAGCAAATAAAATGTCTATAGGGAGATTCTCAGTCATCCAGGTCAGTGGTTCTTAACCTTTTTGAACGAATTGCCCCCTTGAGCCAATGAGGAAGTTGTCATCGCCCCCCTCCCCCAACAAAACCTCTCAATCACAACATAGGAAATAATTCTTCAATTTATGCAAACACTTGTTTTGTTTTCTTTAAAATTGTCATCAGGACATATCGATGCAAATAATTTATTTCCAGTCTTTTTCCCATATCTCCCATATTCTGGCCAATGGAACAACACTGTATGGGTAGAGGCTGCTGCGCAACACGCATGAAGATAAGCGATGAATATTCTCATATATACAGCATTCTGTACTGAAGCTAGCTGGATAAACATTTGAAAACACAATTCAATCCACTAAGAGCGAGCGATCTGATGTTTTTGTATGACATATATACAGCGATTCACTGTGCGAAAAAGTCTCAAAAGTGTCCCCAAAACGTCTCGCTCCATCGCCCCCATATCGCCCCCTTTTCGTTCCTTCGCCCCCCTGAAAAATGAAATCGCCCCCTGGGGGGCAATATCGCCCAGGTTAGGTCATCATAGCTGTCCCAAAATCCCAAAGGTGTTTTTTTAGGCAGCAACTGGACTTCCTTGGTTTTTTTTGAAGACGTTTCGCTTCTCATCCAAGAAGCTTCTTCAGCTCTGACTGGAGGGTGGGGAATGGAAGGATTTATACTCCTTGCAGACAGCGGGTCATTTGCCTCCTTTTAGAGAGTCGTTGGGAGGCACCTGGTTGTCTCAAAAGTTCTTTTTCAAAAGGCAACTGGACTTTCTTGTTTTTTTCCTTGAAGATGTTTCGCTTCTCATCCAAGAGCTGAAGAAGCTTCTTGGAGAGAAGCAAAACGTCTTCAAGGTAAAAAAAAAACAAAAACAAAGTCCAGTTGTCTTTTGAAAAAGCATTTTGGTACACAGGGAGTATTTTTGGAGCTTCACAAATCGCTCTTTTCTAATCCTGCCTTAGACACACACACACACACAAAAAAAAACACAGCTGGGTGACTTTGGATTTTACAATTTCTCTCCAATTCAAGACCATAGATCCTCAGCTCCTGGGGTACCCGAGTTTCGAGGCAACACACAAACACACACACACAGAGAGCTATTTAAATAAAGGCGCGACAAAAACCTAATGCAAAATATCCGTTAAGGCGGCAGGAGAGCTAAAGGAAAAGCTGACACCCCCGGGGTCACAAACCTTCATTGCCCTTCGTGGAAAACAGAGGTACCGAGTTCAAATTCGGTGTCTTTGTCCTGAAATCGGTTTGCCACGAAAAGCAAAAAATAAAAATAAAGCCCCGCTATAAAAGACTCACCAGCATCGGCGCCGCCATCTTTAGCGCGTCATGTGACCCCCGCCGTCTCAAGACGGCCGAAGAGAGACCTTTCTATGGCCGGCTGAGATTGCGCATGTGTCAGTTTTCGGGCATGCTCAATAGTGACAAGTGACACTCCTCCCCGCCCTTTTCCTTGCCCTTCCTTGGCGTTAGCGCCCCTTGCGGTAGAATATTGGGATGCTTGCATTCAGATGATAGTTGCAAAGCAAAAGACGGCCCTTGATAACAGGAAAAAAGATACAATAATCAATTGCATCGCCTTATCAGCCAAGAGCAACAATTAAAAGGAATGTACGGTTCCTAAAGGGTTTATCACCAATTCAGGGTAGAAAATTTTGCAGTAGTTCAAAGGTTGTTAAAGTTTTTTTTCCATGGAAGAAAAACATTCCGCACATGGTCAGAGGCACTGTTTTCTTTGGGGAATTGCCCAAGCTACTGACTCTCTCCAACCTCCTGGGAAAGTCATAATCATGTGATCCGGGGACACAGCAACCGTCTTAAATACATGCCGGTTGCCAAGCACCGGAATCTTGATCATGTGACCATGGGGATGCTAGGACGGTCGTAAATGCGAGGACCAGTCGTAAGTCATTTTTTAGTGCTGTTGTAACTTCAAATGGTCGTTAGAGGAATGGTTGTATGTTTGAGGACTACCAACTCTGAGTGCAAAGTTTCTGTCGCTAAGTGAGACATTTGTTAAGTGAGTTTTGCCCTTTTACAACTTTTCCTGCCACAGTTGTTAAGTGAATCACTGCAGTTGTTAAATCAGTGACATGGTTGTTACGTGAATCTGGCTTCCCCATTGTCAAAAGATCACAAAAGTTGATCACATGACCTCGGGAGGCTGCAACCGTCGTAAATATGAACCCAGTTGCCAAGCTTCCAAATTTCGACCACAGGGATGGTGCAACGTCGTAACGGTGAAAAACTGTCACAAATCACCTTTTTCAGACCTGTGGCAACTTTGAACGGTCACTAAGTGAATCTTGTAAGTCGAGAACTGCCTGTTGGAAAAAAAATCTTCATCGGGGTCCAGTCCAAGCTGGGAATAAACAAAATGAAGTCTGCTTTAGAAAGAAGGTTGCAATTTATTGAAGAGCAGAGCCAGACAGAAAGATGGCTCTGGGAAAGCAGACCACCTGTAGCTGGGAATGGTGGGTTTTTATACCTTCTCGAGCTTTTGTTTGGAGTTCTTCCTGTTTGAGGCTTTGTATTTCCTGTGTCATGTACTTTGACCTGAGTTTGAGTGTACCCTTTGGGTATTGGTGGGTTAATTCTATTATGTCTCCTGTCCTTAGAATTTGGGTAGGGCAGTGGTTCTCAACCTGTGAGTCGGGACCCCATTTGGGGTCGAACGACCATTTCACGGGGGTCGCCAAACAACGCAGTCCACCATTTTTTCCCCCTTTTCCTTAGCTGTGCTACTCCCTTTTATTCTATTGGCTTTTGAAAGCCAATAGAATAGACTCTCTTGAATAGAGTCTGATTCTATTGGCTTTCAAAAGCCAATAGGAATTGTCCAGGCTGTCTCTGCCCTGCTGAGCCTGCCAAAAGTCCCATTCTGCAAACGGTGCTGCACCAGTTGAGTAGTCCTCAACTTACGACCGGTTGGGGGTCGTGGCATTAAAAAGGTTGAGAACCACTGAGGTAGGGGTATGTAGATTTTAGGGATCTTTGTTTTCCTAATTTCTTCAGTTTCTATCTGGAAGGCTCAAACCTTCCTGAATGGATTACTGAATTTGCATTTCTAAAAGCTGGCCTCTGCTGAGTTCTCTGCTTGGGGGAGAGAGGCAGGGGTTGGTTTCTGTCTTTTTTTAAATTATTCCTTTGGGGAAATATATGCTGCCTTTTTAATATTCCCCCAAATATTTCTTTCTCTGGATTCTTCCCACATGCCTCTACATGCACAAAATAAATCAACAAATCTGTCGTTGCATCTTTCTAGCTCTGAACGGACTTGTCCTCCATGCAGATAAAATTATCCCTTTCTTGAACTGCTGGCACCTTGGCATTTGGCGGCCGCCTTGCATTCCTTCCAACCAGCCGTTCCTTTTGTGGTGTGATTCATAACTTCCTCCTTTTACTTCTGAAATTTGTTGCCTGTCGCACAGGACGTTCTTCTCCCCTCGTACAATGCAAGGGTTGTGCCGCTTGGCACTGCCATCCTTCTGTCCTGCAACCTGGGGTGACTCTGCTCTCTCACCTGTGAACTTTGAATTAACTGCCCTGCTGGCAGCCACCGAGTTAGGTGTGGATTTTTGAAGCACACAGAGACATTTTCGGGACAAGCCCTGCAGGTAAACAACCTCCAGGTTCACAGAAAGGTGAGTTAGGGAAGGTTGCTATGAGTAAGTTACCTGCTCAGGTATAATTCCTCCTTTCCTCCCCTCCCCAGTTCGCTTTCAGACCTGGACACCAGGTCTGCCCTTTCTTCCAGAGCTAATTCAAGTCCAAACAGGGCCCTGAATCCAGCTTCTAAAAAAATTAAAATTAAATTAAATTAAATTAAAAACAGTCTTCCAGTTTTGACTACTTTCTCGGAAAACGACTTCTGGTTTTTAGACGGTGCAAATAGCTGGATGTCTCGTCCTGAAGAACTCAATGGGGATGTTCTAAGGTGAGAAGAAAAAGCAAAGAATGGAATTGGGAAGGTAAGTTCTGATGGATCAGTTCTGGGAAGCTTCAGGAAAGCCTGCTCCACAAACTTTGCAGAACACGAAATTAGTAATTTAGTTTCGATTAGGGATTATTTTAGGATCTCAAAGGTGTTTTTTTTTTCTCTCTCTTTCAAAAGGCAACTGGACTAGTTTTATTTGAGAGGGAGACGTTTCACTTCTCATCCACTTCTTACCATTGGGTAAAAAAGCACCTACTGTAGGAGGCAAACTATGACCTGGGTTACTAAGAATCTCCATAGATTGTTTTAGGAATTGTCCTCTTAAAAAAAAAAAACCTCAAAATCAGGATCAAAGTAAGACTGAAATTTACTGGAGGAAGTTCCCTTTAGAAAGGATGGGAAATTGCATTTTTCAAAATAAGGATTTACAGCGCTGTTTTTCCACAGCTATTTTTGCCTCTCTGGGTGGATTTGTTTGGGTTTTTTTGCAGTGGAATAAAAATCAACAGGGAAGGAAATTCAGTATAGAGTTGTTTCAGGCTGTTTTCTCAACCTCCCTCTTCAGCGGTGGCATTTTCAGCTGGTTTTTAAGCCTGCTAAGTTTTATTGCAGATCAACCAAATTTAGATGCTGCTGGCCTTCACGTAAAGTTTGATCTTTCCTCTAAAAAGTCTCTTCCATGCCGTATTCTGCTTAGGCCATGGGGTTTAAAATACCTGAATTATTAGCACCTGCCAATAAGTACGGTAGTCCTCATCTTACGACGAAGATGCAGCCTGGAGTTATGTGACTGTGCCTAAACTTATAAGTTGATTTGTGACAGCTGCTAAACTCGTACCTTTGGGGAGGGGAGGGGGTTGTCATAACTTTGAAGATTTGCTAAGCAACCAGTTGTTAAGCGAGGACTACTTGCAAAGGACATATTTCATCAAGGAAGGGAGCCAGCCAGGGAATTGTGAACTCTCACTACTTGTAACTTAACAACTGAACTTCTCTTAAGATCTACGACACTTTATTTGCATTTAAGGGTGAAAACCTGTCAGAGGTCACTTCAGATGGTCACTTAATGAACTGTTGTAAATAGAGGACTATTGTGTTTGCATTTAAGTCGCTGACTTTTGGGAGTCTCTCGGCAAACAATGAACACTAAACAGCCCATGTACATTTTTTCTGGCCTATATATCAAACTCTTGTTATTCTATTCCATTCCATTCCACTCCACTCCACTCCACTCTGTATTTATTCTATTCTATTCTATTCTATTCTATTCTATTCTATTCTATTCTATTCTATTCTATTCTGTATCTATTCTATTCTGTATCTATTCTGTGTCTATTCTATTCTGTATCTATTCTATTCTGTTCTATTCTGTATCTATTCTGTTCTGTATCTATTCTGTTCTATTCTATTCTATTCTGTTCTGTATCTATTCTGTTCTGTTCTATTATTCTATTCTATTCTAATTCTATTCTTATTCTATTCTGTATCTATTCTATTCTATTCTATTCTAATTCTATTCTATTCTATTCTAATTCTATTCTATTCTGTATCTATTCTATTCTATTCTGTATCTATTCTATTCTGTATCTATTCTGTGTCTATTCTATTCTGTATCTATTCTATTCTGTTCTATTCTGTATCTATTCTATTCTGTTCTATTCTGTATCTATTCTGTTCTGTATCTATTCTATTCTATTCTGTTCTGTATCTATTCTGTTCTGTTCTATTATTCTATTCTATTCTATTCTAATTCTATTCTTATTCTATTCTGTATCTATTCTATTCTATTCTGTATCTGTTCTATTCTATTCTATTATTCTATTCTATTCTGTATCTATTCTAATTCTGTATCTATTCTATTCTGTTCTATTCTGTAATTCTGTTCTGTATCTATTCTATTCTATTCTGTTCTGTATCTATTCTGTTCTGTTCTATTATTCTATTCTATTCTATTCTAATTCTATTCTTATTCTATTCTGTATCTATTCTATTCTATTCTGTTCTGTTCTATTCTATTCTATTCTATTGTATTCTAATTCTATTCTATTCTATTCTAATTCTATTCTTATTCTATTCTGTATCTATTCTATTCTATTCTATTGAAAAAATCCTGCCATCTTTTCTCAGGTTGCATTGAACAAGGAACCCAACCCATCTCCATGGACACCTGGATCAGGGAAGAGGAGGCACCTCTCTTCAAAGGACTGCCCCCCTTACCTAAAGCGTTTTGGGGGGCTCATCTGTCTCAAGAATCTCCACCTGAGATGGCAGAGCAGGACGGGACCAAACCACTAGAGGGGGAGCACATCAGCCTTCATGGAAAAATATCCTGGCTGCAGAGAGAAATGGTGAGGCTCTCCACTTGCTATTTGGGGGGGGGGGAGGGATTAGGCCTGAGAAGGTATGCCCAGTGATGAAGCACCCTCAACTTCTGGTGGCAAGCTGTTCCACTGGTTAACTGTTCTCACTGTTAGGAACTTTCTCCTTAATTCTAGGTTGCTTCTCTCCTTGATTAGTTTCCATCCGTTGCTTCTTGTCCTGCCTTCAGGCGCTTTGGAGAATAAGTTGACCCCCTCCTCTTTTTTGTGGCAGCCCCTTAAATATTGGAAAGCTGCTATCGTGTCTCCCCTAGTCCTTCTTTTCTCTAGACTAGCCATATCCGATTTCTGCAACCGTTCTTCATCTGTTTTTGTCTCCAGGCCTTTAATCGTCTTAGTTGCTCCGCTCTGCAATTTTTCCAAAGTCTTAACATCTTTTTTGTAATGTGGGGACCGAAACTGGATGCCGTATTCCAGGCGTGGTTTTACTAAGGCTTTCTAAAGCGGTACTAATACTTCACATGATTTCGATCCTATGCCTCTGCTTATACAACCAAGGATTGTGTTAGCTTTTTTGGCTGCTGCCAAACACCGCTGGCTCAGGTTTAAGTGATCGTCCACTAGGACTGCAAGGTCCCTTCTCCCAGTTCCTGTTTTTGCCTAGTCTGTACTTGTACCTTTGGTTTTTCCTGCCCAGGTGTAAAACCTTGCTTTTCTCCACATTAAATTTCATTTATTTTATTTCTTCGGGGGGGGGGGGGCAATAAGGCCCATTCTTCAAGTCTGAAACAAAGTGGAAGATAGTAAAGGGACTGTGCCAAATATCCCTATTTTTATCTGTATATATTCCTTATCCAGATTGACAGTTCCCCGCCCCCATCCAGAGATGAACTCCCTAAAAACATCATGGTCCTTGGTAATCATCATCATCATCATCATAAAGTTGGAAGGTACCTTGGAAGTCATCTAGTCCAACCCCCTGCTCAGACAGGAAACCCTATACCATTTCGGACAAATGGCTGTCCAGTCTCTTCTAAAAAACTTCCAGTGTTGGAGCATTCACCGCTTCTGGAGGCAGGTGGTTCCACTGGTTAATTGTTCTAACTGTCAGGAAGTTTCTCCTGAGTTCTAGTTCTCCTTGGTTACTTTCCATCTGTTGCTTCTTGTCCTACCTTCAAGTGTTTTGGAGAATAGCTTGACTCCCTCTTCTTTGGGGCAGCCCCTGAGATATTGGAACCCTGCTATCATGGTGAATAATAAAAGTTGTTCTGTTTGTTAACCACCCCCCTCCCCTCCAGCTGCGTCTACGAAGGAGTGACCTGGGCCTTTTTCGTCAGCTTTACTTCCTTGCCCTGGAAATTCAGGATCTCAGTGAGTTACATCAGGAGATGGTGACCTTCTCAAAGGAGCAGCTGGCAGGAGAAGAAGACCCCAACCATGCTGGAGACAGGAAAGCAACGGGACAGAGCCAGCGTGAAGCTTTTGAACTAACCATCTGAAAGTCTCCAAAGTGCTTTTGGAAGAGGCAACTGGGCTTTCTTGTTTTCCTTCGAAGATGTGTCGCTTCTCATCCGCTGAAGCAGCTTCTGAGACCAGAAGCGAAACGCCTTTAAAGAAAAAACAAGGAAATAAGTCCAGTTGCCTCTTGAGGAAAAGCACTTTTGGGGCAACCAAGACCTTGAAGGACTGAGAATCTCCATCGACATTTAATCCTCTGGAAAAGGCAGCTGCCTCTTTGAACTCGCTGGGCAAAAGGCGACTCCAAGTGATCCACAGGCAGTCCTGGACTTACAACAGTACGTTTAGTGACCATTCAATGTTACAACGGCACTGAAAAAAGTGAGCTTATGACAATTAACCAGTTAACCAATTAACTTAGGACAATTAACCAGTGGAATAGCTTGCTTGCTTCCAGAAATCGTGGGCACTCCATCGTTGGAGGTTTTTAAGAAGAGACTGGACAGTCACTAGTCTGAGATAGTATAGGTTCTCCCATCTGAGTGGAGGGTTGGACTAGATGACCTCCAAGGTCCCTTCCAACTCTGCTATTCTAATTCTGTTCTAATTCTAATTCTATTCTATTCTCTACTCTACTCTACTCTGTATTTATTCTATTCCAGTGATGGTGAACCTTTTAGAGACCGAGTGCCCAAACTGCAATCCAAAACCCACTTATTCATCGTTGGGTGCCGGGTGGGTGTGGCCCATTGACTGGGTGTGGCCAATTGGGGGCGTGGCCCATTGGGTGGGCATGGCTGCGGTGGTAACAGCAGACTGGGTGGGACTAAAAAATACAATAATCAATTCCAACTTTGCGAGATCTTTTTTTTTCCCGTGAGAAGTTGAAATTGACTGATTGATTGAACCTTTTTTTTTTTTTTTTGCATATGGCGGTGGAGGCCTAAAGCGAAAAGGTTTTATAAAACCCAGCTGAAGGCCTAGGACTGGGGCAACGGCACACGTGCCCACAGAGAGGGTTCTGAGTGCCGCCTCTGGCACCCGTGCCATAGGTTTGCCACTACTGTTCTATTCTATTCCATTCCATTCCCATTACATTCTACTCTAATCTATTCTATTCTACTCTACTCTATTCCGTTCTGTATTTATTCTATTCTATTCTATTCTATTCTATTCTATTCTACTCTACTCTACTCTGCTCTGCTCTGCTCTGCTCTGCTCTACTCTATTCTAATTCTATTCTGTTTTTATTCTATTCTATTCAATTACAATCTTTGCAGCATCCCCACGATCATGTGATCAAAATCCAGATGCACGGCCACTGGTTCATACTTACGACTGTTGCAGTGTTCCTAGGTCATCTGATTCCCCTTTTGCTATCTTCTGACAAGCAAAATCAGATTTGCTTAACTGGGTTACTCACTTATCCACTGCAGTGACTCACTTAATACCTGTGGCAAGAAAGGTCGTAAAATGGGGCAAAATTCAACAGATGTCTCACATAACAGAAGTGCCGGGCTCAGTTGTGGCCACTGAAATTTACATGTGTTTATGTATGTGTGAATTCTTCTTTACAGGCTAAATTTGGAAAAACGAGCAAGGGATCCCCAAATTCTCCATCACTATAATTCTATATCATTATTTTGAGGCACTGCAACAGATCCTAGACCAGGGCTAGGCAACCCTGGCTCTTTTATGACTGGTGGACTTCAACTCCCAGAATTCCTCAGCCAGCCGTGCTGAGGGGAAAGGGAGGTTTCCATGCTGAGCCAGGCTGGCTCAGGAATTCTGGGAGTTGAAGTCCACCAGTCATAAAACAGCCAAGGTTGCCTAGATCCTTGCCGGCCTGTCTGTCTGTCCGTCCCCACCGAAATTTCTAAATTTCTTTCTATCCCAAGCGCCACAAGGCCGCTATTTTTTTTAAAAAAAACGGCAAAATTTCCTCTCTGGCCTCCTTTCCTGAGGACTTGTGACTTCACTGGCAAGTGACTTCACAACGATCAGGGTCACCGATTCATCCCCCCACCCCCACCAGCTACGCTTAACTACGGTTTATCAAATTTATTTTTTATTGGTATAAATGTATGTTATGTCCCAAGAGGCCGGGTTCACATGATTCAAAGGAAGGCTTCGTGCCGCAGGCTGAGTCAGCCGAGATCAATGGGCCTCATCAAATCTTCCTTTTAAAAAAATGTGCAATTGGGAAGCAGTGCGTTAAAAAAAAAACAATGTTAAAAAGCAAGCCACAGTGGCGAAAGAGGTAGCTTTGATGTGTGGCGAAAGGATTTTGTGAAAGTCTGTATGTGAAAAGGAATCCAAACAGCTTTGCTTCGTGTCTCTAGCTACACAAAATGCTCCCCAGCGTTTTTCTTTCTTTCTTTCTTTCTTTCTTTCTTTCTTTCTTTCTTTCTTTCTTTCTTTCTTTCTTTCTTTCTTTCTTTCTTGGGTACGCAGATGTTTCAATGATTTTTTGCTAAATCCAGCCATTTCCCAACCCAGGAGGTAATTTGCTAAAGAAAGAAAGAAAGATAAAAAACAAATTTTATTAACTTCAAAGAAGCATTAGTTTGTATTCTCAGCTGCTTTTTTGCCCGTCTTCGGTTCTTACTTGTTTCTTCCGTTATTCGCTCTATTTTTGTAAATAAGGCTGTGAAATATATTGAATACTCCTTAGTAATAGTAGTAAAGTTGGAAGGGACCTTGGAGGTCATCTAGTCCAACCCCCTGCTCGGGCAGGAAACCCTACACCATTTCGGACAAATGGCTGTCCAGTCTCTTCTTAAAAACTTCCTTCTTCCTCTTTTGCCCAAAACAACAACCCTGTGAGATGGCTTGGGCCGAGAGTGATTGGCCCAAACCCACCTGGCTTTCATACCTAAGGCAGGACTAGAACTCACACTCTCCTGGTGATTGGCCCAAAGTCACCCAGCAGATTCTCACGTCTAAGGCAGAACTAGAACTCACCGTCTCCTGGTGATTGGCCCAAAGTCAGCCAGACGGCTTTTGTGCCTAAGGCAGGACTAGAACTCACTGTCTCCTGGTGAGTGGCCCAAAGTCACCCAGCTGGCTTTCATGCTTAAAGTAGAACTAAAACTCTCAGCCTCCCAGTTTCTAGCCATTTGAATAACTTGTTACTTATTTTTATTTGGAAAAGGTTCACGTTGCCTCAATTTGATGGGTGCGCCTCACAAGGGTCTAGATTTCGGGCTGATTATTTATTTATTTTGTTCATTTATGATCCCACCCGCTGCATTTTCCACCCACCCCCCCAGATCCACCCCCCCTCCATCTGTTTGCTTCAGCCTCTTTCGCCAGTCTCACCTTTCTGGCCTGGATGAGGGGCCAAGGGTCGCTGGCTGAGGGTGAATTCATGTTGGCACAGTGTGAAGTGCCATTGATTAAAATGGCCGGTTCTGAAGCGGACTCGTTCGTGAGGACGCTCAGCACATGCCAAGGATCAATGTCGCCTACGAAAGATGGGAAAAGAAAGTGAACAAAAGGAAGAAATCTGATGATGCTACCTAATTAGGGTAATGCATGAAAACAAGCCAGCTCAGAGAGCACCAAGGACCTCTCGTGTCAACCCTGAACTACCAATATTCTCCGTTATTAGAGAGCCAATGTGTTTTCCATTCTCAGAAAAATAAAATCCACTCTAGATCAAGTTTGGCCGCTGCTAACTTCACATCCATCTCGGTGTCCATGATTTGTCAGAAGGGTTTTTCAACCTTCTTAGGATTTCCTAGTGGTCTCCTCTCCTAACGTTCAGCTGTTCCCACTTAGCTTTTTAAAAGCAGAGGTCGCCGGTGGCGGCCATCCTCATACCGTTAACGAAAAGGATTTGGCTGGCTTTGGGATGGTCGGCCCCATAATAGTCATTGGTGAAAGACACGGCTTCGCTCACGTTGCGATAGGAGATGTTGAAGACTTGAGCGCAGATATCTAACTGGTAGGCCAAGTTCATTCGGGGAGAGAAGGGGCAGTGTGAGTCCTCGCAGGTCTGGTCTAAAATGGGAGGAAAAGCAGTTTTGAAATGAGATTTACCATGCAGATGCACTAACAGAGGGATAGAATAAGATCCAGCAAAGTGTTAATGCCACTTTATAAGGCCTTGGTAAAGCCACACTTGGAATATTGCATCCAATTTTGGTCACCACAATATAAAAAAGAGGTTGAGACTCTAGAAAGAGTGCAGAGAAGAGCAACAAAGATGATCAGTGGACTGGAGGCTGAAACATATAAAGAACGGTTGCTGGAATTGGGTAGGTCTAGTTTAATGAAAAGAAGGACTAGGAGGTGACATGATAGTGTTCCAATATTTGGGGGGCTGCCCTAAAGAAGAGGGAATTAAGCTATTCTCCAAAGCACCTGAAGGCAGGACAAGAAGCAACGGATGGAAACTAATCAAGGAGAGAAGCAACCTAAAACTAAGGAGAAATTTCCTGACAGTGAGAACAATTAATTAATGGAACAGCGTCCCTCCAAAAGTTGTGGGAAGGTTTTAAAGAAGAGATTGGACAGCCATTTGTCTGAAACGGTGTATAGGGTTTCCTGCTTCAACAGTGGGTTGGACTAGAACTGTGGTGGCGAAGCTATGGCACGTGTGCCACAGGTGGCACTCAGAGCCCTCTCTGTGGGCAAGCACGCCATGGCCCCAGTCCTAGGCCTTCAGCTGGGTTTTATAAAACCTTTTCGCTTTAGGCCTCCGCCACCGTGTCCAAAAAAAAAAAGGTTCAATCAATCAATTTCAACTTCTCATGGGGAAAAAAAAAGATCTTGCAAAGTTGGAATTGATTGATTGAACTTTTTAGTCCCACCCAGTCTGCCGTTACCACCGCAGCCACGCGCACCCAATGGGCCATGCCCATCCAGTTGGCCACACCCACCCAGTTTGCCACGTCCCCAGCACCCGACGATACATAAGTGGGTTTTGGGTTGCAGTTTGGGCACTCGGTCTCTAAAAGGTTCGCCGTCACTGGACTAGAAGACCTCGACGGTCCTATCCAACTCTGCTATTCTGAACCTCATTTACTGTCCTTGCAAAAAAACAAGCAAAAAAGCAAAATATTGCTTCGTGGTTCAAGATCAACCTCCAGCTCTTTCAGGGGAGGGGAGAGAGGAGGGGGCAGACATAGCACATTGGAAGCAGACTTTTCTGCTGAACTTTGAGGAGCTCAAATAGGATGGCGAAGGATAGCAAGAAAGGATGAGAAAAGGTCAGCATTCTTTGACTGCTCACTTACAATAGCCAAATTCCGTGCAGGTCTGGAAGCACCACTGTCGTATACCTATACCCGACGTCCCAATACTGGTATTGCGTAATTCCTCTAGAATTTCCTCGTGAGAGTTCTCCAAACAGGACATGCCGTTTTGCTCTAGAATTAGCTACCCCAAACAAGATAAACAAATATCCTGGTTACTTAAGGCCTGTTGGAACTCTGCCTCTTCTGCCTATCCCATAGGAACTGGCGAATTCGGCACGCTCCGGGTTTATTTATTTCATTGGCATCCCGCCTTGTTTATTTGTACAAATAATTGAAGGGGGAGAATGTATCCCCACCACACTTTCCTCTTCCTCTTTTCCACACAACCACAATCCTGTGAGCGGGAGTGGGCTGAGAGTGACTCGCCGAAAGTCACCCAGCTGGCTTTCATGGCTAAGGTGGGACTAGAATTCCCAGTCTCCTGATGACTGGCCCGGGATCACCCAGCTGGCTTTAAGGTGAGACTAGAACTCCCAGTCTCCTGGTGACTGGCTCAGGATCATCCAGCTGGCTTTCATGGCTAAGGCGGGACTAGAACTCCCTGTCTCCTGGTGACTGGCCCAGAATTACCCAGCTGGCTTTCATGGCTAAGGCGGGACTAGAACTTCCAGTCTCCTGGTTTCTAGCCTGGTGCCTAGAGCTAGCTGGGTCTCACCACCGGCACTCATCACTGGTTCCATTGGGATCACCAGTCAGGAACCTGGGCAGGGCCTTCTCTGTGGTGTCTCCCTCAGAAAAACAAATGCCTTACGAGGTTGATGACAATGAGTCTCCGATACGGGGAGCCGATGCTGCTGTTGGTCATGATGCTGCAGATGTTTCTCACGCTGCTCCACAGGATTATGGCATTGTTGTACTGCACAACTCCCATGAAGATGTCGGCCAGGTTGGTGACCAACGCTTGGCAGTCCCTGTCCCCTTGCAAAGGGCTACAGGAGTGAAAATCTATGCCGAGTTTTGCCAGCCACCCGGCACGCACCATGCTGTCCACGGAAGAGAAGGCCTCTCTCACTCTTTGCAGGCACTGTGGGAGAAAGCAGAGAAGCCCCACCCTCAACCAGAGTTAGGAGGGTCCTTGGAAGTAGGGGGACATTCAGACTTAGGGAGCAGGAACTCCAGATTTGTAGCACAGTGGGAAAACGCACGTGGAGTTAAGAGGGGGGAAAAATTGAGATCCACACACTGTCAAGCATGCATTGCTTAATGGTGAGTTCCTAGATATGTTTGGGTTCAGGAAGTATGTGAAGCCATTGTGCTGAGGTCTGGGTTCTGGGTTCAAAGGGGGTTCTGTGGTTGGAGGACAAGGCTTCAACACCACATGCACCCTCTTGTTAATTTGGACGTTCCTGCAAATACCCCTTTTGGAATTGCATGTGTGAATGCAATTAAGGGAGTCTGGTCTCAGTTTCCTTCCTTCAATCCTTTCTTCCTTCCATCCTCCCTGCCTCTATTCTTATTTTCCCTCCTCTCTCCTTCCCTTTTCCTTCCTTCTTTTATATGCTGCCTATCTCCCCAATAGAATAATTCCTTCCTTCCTTCCCTCTTCCCTTTCCTTCCTTCCTTCCTTCCTTCCTCCCTTCCTTCCTTCCTTCCTTCCTTCCTTCCTTCCTTCCTTCCTTCCTGTACTTTATTTTCTTTTTCCTTAAATTTGTATCGTTCTTACTTTACAACCCTTTTTTAAATGATTTTCTTTTTAAAATGTTCTTTTAAAGGAACTGACCTCTGTGGAACCTCCGACCACTGGATTTGAGAGGCTCGCAGCGACAACCTAAAGAAATGGAAGTGAAAGGAAAAATGACATTGATGGGATCTCTCCAACGGGTGACCCAGCTTCTTTCTAAAACATTGCAGCCTCAATCTGGAGTGAAAGGTTTCACAACAGACTTTCCCTGGCCACAGTGGTTAACCATTGTGTTAAAAAAAAAAAAGATGAGAACTAAATTTGTGCAGGAACCACACTGCTTTCCTTCTCTCTTTTTTCCCTCCTACAAAGCGGAAAACCCCGATTTTATTTCCTTTCATGAAATATGTAGGCAAATCTTTCACGGTGCAAGCAACACCCAGCTCAGCGTTTAAGCTTAAAACGTGTGGATTTCAACTCCCAGAATTCTCCAGCTAGTGTTGCTGGCTGGGGAATTCTGGGAGTTGAAGTCCACCCATCTTAAATTGGCCAAGACAAAAACAGCTACATAGAGAACTAAATGCTTGTGCTTGCTTTTTTTCCTCCTCTCTCTCTTCCAATTTAGAAAACTCCATTTTTTTTTTTTGCCTTTCTTTTTAGCAAATTCGGTAAACAAATCTGTCTGCTTCTTTGTGATGAGCTGGGTTTAATCTCCCAATGATCGTCTCGAAATTCAGAGGTCATTTTGGCACCCCGGGCAAAAGCTGACCTTGTTGTAGCCTGTGAAATCCATCTCGGCTCGAACTGGAGCAGAAGAGGCGACGGCAGCAAAAACCAGGTGGGGAAACTGCAAGGAAGGAAGGAAGGAAGGTCCACAAAGGAACAAAAAAATATTTTCCCTGTAGGATTATGGGGCCTTTGGTAAGGGAAGAGAGGTGGCCTTCAAACTAACTTGGTTTCTCTGGCCCTTGACATCCATTAAGCCCTGTTTCTGATATGCAGAAGAAAGCATTAAGGTGCCCCCCGCTTCAATACTCCAATTTTTGCAAGAGTCTGGTTCCCTACAGCTAGTCCTTGCTTTCCAGATCCTTGTTGTTAGTTGCGAAGTTGTGTCTGACTCATCGCGACCCCATGGACAACGTTCCTCCAGGCCTTCCTGTCCTCTACCATCTTCTGGAGTCCCTTTAAGCTCACGCCTCCTGCTTCAGTGACTCCATCCAGCCACCTCCTTCTCTGTCGTCCCCTTCTTCTCTTGCCCTCCATCTTTCCCAGCATCAGGCCCTTCTCCAGTGAGTCCTTCCTTCTCATTAGGTGGCTATTCCAATCCTACCTTAAGCCTAAACCAGGCAGCCAATGAACCAGGATATGAGCCTCCAAAGCAAATCCAGGTGTGATTCGCTCTCAAGTTGTACTTCTGAGTGATAAAATGGCGGAAGGCAACCAGATCAGACAGACTGAAAGGAAGAAGGTTGAAGTCCTCATAGCTCACATCTTAAAAGTTGCTAACAGTGTTGGCAAACACTGGTCTAAACGGTCTAGTAAATTCCAGAATGAGGATGTTGCCCACCCCCTCAAGTGAAAATTGGTAGATTTGGAGCCACTTACGCTTGCTGGCTAGACAAGAACTGAAGATTTTCATCCTGCAAACTATCAGGGTTAAGGCTGGTCCCATAGAAGCGATGCTCCAAAGACACCACCATGGCTTTGTACTTCTCAGCTAAATCTACGTGATGTCCTGAAATCAGAATAAAATGCAACTGGGTGATGGACGATCCAGAGGGAGGAGGGAGGAGGGAGGAGGGAGGAGGGAGGAGGGAGGAGGAGGAGAAGAAGAAGAAGAAGAGGAGGAGGAGGAGGAGGAGGAGGAGGAGGAGGAAAAACTGAGGGTCCATGGTTCTGAGTTTGGTGGTTTTCTTGCAAACATTTCATTACCCAACTACGTAACGTCATCAGTGACAAAAGAGTGGGGAGCGAGGAAGAGGAGAACTGGGCACAAGAAGAGGTCTTTTCTTCCCACACCCCAGGTAACTCTATGATGATTCTGTGAGGCTTCTCCTGTATGAGGCCTCTTCTCTATCGGGCAGTAAGGAGCTCTGCAGGGAAGGAGTCAAAAGAGTCAAGATGGCGGCCACAATGAGATGATGAAGTTTGCAGAGCCGGGACTCTGGGCATTTTCCCAGCTGCCCATCCCAGCTTCTCTCCTTCCCAGCGAGAGGAAGCCAAGCTGAACGCTGCTCTCCGGAGCGTGGCCTCGTGGTTGCCACCGCTCAGCCCGACTCACTTACCGGTCAACACGGAGAACGGCGAGAGGGTGGATTCTCCGCCAATGTAGAGGAAAATGGGGCCGGTGGGACGTTGCCACAATTGCTCATTAACCCAGTAGCGCTGAATTTCGGAAAGAAAGACGGAAGAAAACCAATTCAATATAAAATCAGAAGTGGGTATGTCTAGTTTAACGAAGAGAAGGACAAGGGGGGACATGATAGCAGTGTTCCAATATCTCAGGGGCTGCCATAAAGAAGAGGGAATTAAGCTATTTTCCAAAGCACCCGAAGGCAGGACAAGAAGCAACGGGTGGAAACTAATCAAGGAGAGAAGCAACCTAGAACTAAGGAGAAACTTCCTGACAGTGAGAACAATTAACCAGTGGAACAGCCTGCCTCCAGAAGCAGTAAATGCTCCAACACTGGAAGTTTTTAAGAAGAGACTGGACAGCCATTTGTCCGAAATGGTGTAGGGTTTCCTGCCCAAGCAGGGGGTTGGACTAGATGACCTCCAAGGTCCCTTCCAACTTTACTATTATTATTATTATTATTATTATTATTATTATTATTATTATTATTATTATTATTATTAAGAAAAGCCACAAGGTTGAGACTTAAGAGCGGGGCACTGTTCAAATTTGCATCCGATACAGCGGGGGGAGTCCAAAACTTAGCAATTTTAAGATTTGTTGACTCCCAGAATTCCCCATTCAGCATGCGATTAAATTTTAAGATGTGTGGACTCCAACTCCCAGAATTGTGCTGGCTAGGGAATTCTGGGAGTTGAAAATCCACATATCTTAACATTTAATAACACACTGAATGGGGAATTCTGGGAGTTGAAAATCCACACATCTTAACATTCAATAGCACAATGGCTGGGGAATTCTGGGAGTTGAAAATCCACATACTGTATCTTAACACTTAATAGCACAATGGCTGAGGAATTCTGGGAGTTGAAAATCCACACATCTTAACATTTAATAGCACACTGAATGGGGAATTCTGGGAGTTGAAAGTCCACACCTCTTAACATTCAATAGCACAATGGCTGGGGAATTCTGGGAGCGGAGGTCCACTCTTCTTAAATCGGCCACGGTTGAGAAACACCACCAGGGCAGGGCCGACCTGCATGTGTACCGCTGTCCATTCTCAAGTGCCATTTTTCACCTGGTTAAACAGACGTCTGTCCTGCCGGTTGAAGTGGTCCAGAGGCTGGAGGATGCGCCCCTCCTCAACTGGGATCCTGTTTAGCATTGCTGGTCTTTGGCTGTGCAGCTGCCAGCGAATCTGGACTTCTTTCACAGCTTGTTTCTCCCGCTGCTGCTCAACATGCTGGCGGAAGAGCCAGAAAAGTTTGCCTAAAAAAGAGGGAAAAAATAAAGGATTAAAAAAAAAAACTTTCCACAATGCTTCAGTAAACTCAAGGTGGTTTCCAGTTGGATGCAATGGCTGGCTTGTTTGAACCCTGTCTCTTAGCCACGTTAGCTGGGAAATTACCTTTCTGAATTAGCTGACCTTATCCCACGCTTGTTCAATGAATAACTATACGGGCGGTACTCAGTTTACAACCGCAGCTGAGCCCAATTCCTGTGGCTAAGCAAGCCCCATTTGATGACTTTTCTTGTCACCGTTAAGTGAAACACTGCAGCTGGTAAGTTAGAAACACAGGTGTTAAGTGAATTTGGCTTCCCCATTGACTCGGTGTGTCAGAAGGTCGCAAAAGGGGATCATGTGACCCCAGGACACGGCAACCATCATAAATATGAGTCAATTGCCCTCAATTTATTTCAAAACTTGGGAAAAATTTTATCGAAGGTTAAAGACAGGTTCGAATATGAACAGAACTTAAAATATTGAATTTTAAAATTGAATAGAATAAGCGATAGATCTTTAACTCAGTTTTATTTTTTCTTCGATTAATAACATCTGTATTACTAGTGACTTTAAATACTAATGGTGACGATTAGAATTAGTTGAGTTATTAAGAATGAATAACTATTTAGAAGAATTTTACTTATTTAATCAAATTTTAGTGATATGATTATAGTCAATTCTACCTTTATAATTGTTTAGTATTATATGAATTATGTTTATTTAACATTTAGATCCGGACGGTAGCTTGTTTGTTAAAGCTTGGGATTATTATGGGGAGTCGCCCCATTAGTGTAGCTACCTTTATCCTACCCCAAATTCCTATTCCCATTCCCCCTATACCCGTTTTGACCTTATCTTTTCCTTACCTATACAAAATCTAATAAAATGTTTCTAAAAATAAATAAATAAATAAATATGAGTCAATTGGCAAAGCGATTGGATTTTGATCACAGGTCCATGGGGATGCTGCAACAGCAAAAAGCGGTCCAAGTCTCTTTTTTCAGCGCCGTTATACCGTCCAACAGTCACCAAAGCCACTGTTGTAAGTCAAGGACTATCTATAGCAGTGGTTCTCAACCTGTGGGTCGGGACCCCATTTGGGGTCGAACGACCATTTGACAGGGGTCACCAAACAACACAGTCTGCCACTTTCCCCCCCACCTTTTCCTTAGCTGTGCTCCTCCCTTTTATTCTATTGGCTTTTGAAAGCCAATCGAATAGACTCTCTTGAATAGAGTCTAATTCTATTGGCTTTCAAAAGCCAATAGGAATTGTCCAGGCTGTCTCTGCCCTATTGAGCCCGCCAAAAGTCCCATTCTGCAAACGGTGCTGCACCAGTTGAGTAGTCCTTGACTTACGACCGGTTGAGTAGTCCTTGACTTACGACCGGTTGGGGGGTCGCGGCATTAAAAAGGTTGGGCATTCAGGATGTGCAGGCTTAGTTACATTTGCCTCTGGCGAGCCGCCAACTTTAGGCATCCATCCCGTTGCGTCTTTCTGCATCCCCGGGAATCAATCCTTTCTCCAATTACAAGCAGCTTTTTTTTTGTAGTTACAAGAAACTTCCCAGAAAATTACAAGCCATTTTTACAAGAAGTTCCTTGCTTTCTTGAAGAGGCAAGAAGACACTCTTTTAAAGCTGTTCCTGGCAGAAGTGAAACCGAGCAAAGACAACTCGTTCCGGCTTCTTAATTTCTCAGAAGCTGGAGACAGCAAAAAAAGGCTGTCACAAGGGACCCCATTTCCTGAAAACGACTCAGAAATTTTAGCAGCCACAATCATTTTTTTTTCCCTCTGGCTACTGGGCAAAATAAACCCAAAATACTTGGAGAGGAAATCCCAGATAGATTTGTGCACAAATAAATGCAGAATATATCGCGCAGAAATCAATGCCGGGCCCACTGTGCAGGGAAAAATTCAGAATATATAGCCAGTCCTCAAGTTACGACGATTGGGTTGGTTTAGTGACCGTTTGACGTTTACAAGAGCACTGAAAAATGTGACTTATGGCCGTTTCTCAAACGGCTGCTTGAAGCATCCCCAGAGTCATGTGATCAAAATTCGGATACTTGGCAACTGACTCGTATTTACGACGGTTGCAGCATCCCCTGGGGTCACGTGATCCCCTTTGGTGGCCTCCTGAATAGCAAAATCAATGGGGGAGCCAGATTCATTTAACAACCCTGTTGTTAAGTTAACAACCGCAGTGATTTGCTAAAGCAACTGTGGGAAGGGAGGTCGTAAAACGGGGCAAAACTGACGTAAGTAATATCTCAGCAACAGGAATCTTGGGCTCAGCTGCAGTCGTAAGTCGAGGGTTCCCTATATTCTGCAGAAATAAATTCAGAATAAACTGCGCCACACAACTTTACTCAAATGTCCCAGATGAGGTCTTTGCACAAACCTCACCAGGACTGACTACCAAGGAGCCAATAACCTCCAACTAACCAAAGAGTCGAAATGTCAGGCAAAAGGCATCCCAGCTGCAGGGTAACACCTTCAGAGGCAGGAGCAGTCTACCCTAATCACACACCACACAGCAGGAGGGAACAGAGGGCGCTTTTACAACTGCAAAACTGAGCCTCCCCTTGCTGGTGCATTCTACCACTGAATCTCACCTGGTGGGGCAAGGTCTGTAATTAAGCAGGCTGGAAATGGAGGAGCCTCTGCTTTTCAAACTAGAAAGCCTGAGCCTCCCCCTGCAGGCGCACTCTACCACTGAATATCACTTGATGGGCAGGGGCTGTAATTTAGCATGCTGGAAGCGGTTTTACCACCACAAAACTGAGCCTCCTTTGCTGGTACACTCTACCACTGAGTATCATCTGGCTGGGAAGGGGCTGTGATTAAGAATGCTGACCCCATCTCCTCCTTTAACCCCCCCCTCCAATACCGAACTGGCCCCTGTGGGAAACCGGAACCTGCTCGTCCCCACCAGAAGCCAGCAAACGGAGAGGAGAAAGGAGGCCACCCGGTAATCCGAGCGGCCGTTTTTTTTTCCCACCAAGAGACTTCCAAACTCACCTGCGTGAGCAAAAGCGAGCAGGGCAACCAACAGGAGCCCGCAGGAGAGACGGAACCGAGGCAGCATCTTCCAACCCAGCCCGGAGCCGAAGAAAACGAGATCCGGAGCAGAAAGCGAAACGAAGCAAAGCGAAGCAAAACTTAAGCGCTCGCCCCAGCAAGAAAAAGCCGCGCTCACATGACCGGCGGCCCCTCCCCGCCTCTTGGCCCTCCCCACTTTGCAGAGGGACGGGCTAGGGGGCGTGTGTGTGTGTGTGTGTGTGTGTATGCTAGGGAACATGGGGTGTGTGTGTGTGTGGACATGCTAGGGGGGCAAGGGATGTGTGTGTGGTCATGCTAGGGGGCAAGGGATGTGTGTATGTGTGTGTACGTGTTAAGGAAGCAAGGGGTGTGTACGTATGTGTGGGCGCGCTAGGGGGCTCTGTGTGTGTGTGTGTGTGTGTGAAGGGATGTGTGTGTGGACATGCTAGGGAACATGGGGTGTGTGTGTGTGTGGACATGCTAGGGGGGCAAGGGATATGTGTGTGTGGTCATGCTAGGGGGCAAGGGATGTGTGTATGTGTGTGTACGTGTTAAGGAAGCAAGGGGTGTGTACGTATGTGTGGGCGCGCTAGGGGGCTCTGTGTGTGTGTGTGTGTGTGTGTGTGAAGGGATGTGTGTGTGGACATGCTAGGGAACATGGGGTGTGTGTGTGTGTGTGGACATGCTAGGGGGGCAAGGGATATGTGTGTGTGGTCATGCTAGGGGGCAAGGGATGTGTGTATGTGTGTGTACGTGTTAAGGAAGCAAGGGGTGTGTACGTATGTGTGGGCGCGCTAGGGGGCTCTGTGTGTGTGTGTGTGTGTGTGTGTGTGAAGGGATGTGTGTGTGGACATGCTAGGGAACGTGTGTGTGTGTGTGTGTGGACATGCTAGGGGAGCAAGGAATATGTGTGTGTGGTCATGCCAGGGGGCAAGGGATGTGTGTGTGTACGTGCTAAGGAAGTAATGGGTGTGTATGTATGTGTGGGCGCGCTAGGGGGCTCTGTGTGTGTGTATGTGTGTATACACACACGTGCCTTTGCTTGCTTGCTTGCTTGCTTTTCCCGCACCGGGTCTGCTGCGTTTGCACAAACGACAACCCCCCCCCCCCGTCTGCTAAAAGCCGACCAGCTGAGCTCATATAATGCGCGACCCCCCCCCCAGGAGGCATGTGATGGTTTTACGTGATGGCGTGGATGAAGTCACTCTGGGATTTCCAGCACCCACCTGTGTGGCTCGTACTCGAGTCGGGTGCGTCGTGCGAACGGGGCCGCTGACTCGGATTTCCAACTCCTTTTCTCTTTGCAACCCGGCGCCCCCTCCCCCCAGCTCCCCTGATTTCCTTGCCCCGCAAAACTTAAGCCGGGCCCCGCCCGCTTTGTTTCTCACGGGCTGGAGTTTCCCGAGGGGCAAAGCAGAATAACAAAAGAGTTTAAAGGGACCCTGGAGGTCTTCTAGTCCAACCCCCTGCTCGAGCAGGAGAATCTGTACGACTCCGGGACAAATGGTAGTTCCGTCTCTTTAAAAAAAATCTCCAGGGATGGAGGACCCACGACAACAAAATTAATCAGAAAAAATCAAGCCGTGAGAAAAAGGTTAGCCACGTCAGAGAAAACCACGTTCACACGCTCAGCCGCTGATCTTTAGTAAAAGGCGAACCTTTTCCACGACCTGAAGACTGCAGAGAAAAATCTCGGTTCCTCGTTCCGCGAAGTCAGAAAACTTTCTCACCGCCAGGGGGCAGCAGCGTCGCGGCGGTAAACCCCCGCTAAGGATCGCTGATGGGGATGTCGAATATTTATTATTATTATTATTATTATTATTATTATTATTATTATTATTATTATTATTATTATTATTATTATTATTATCATCATCATCATCATCATCATCATCATCATCATCGTTTTGTTATTTCAATTTATGGGCCACCACCTCCAGTGAACTCTGGATGGCGAGCAAAAGGATAAACTCTGACACATCAAATTTAGAGGCGCCCTAAAAAAGACTGCTTTATGCAGTGGAGGTGACCCCTCCCCAAGGCGAGAAAGGGGTGGGGGCTTCCAAACAGGGTTTCCTACAAACCACCCAGATTTGCATTCAAATAAGCCCCGATTTGGCCCAGAGAACTCAGACAGCAAACACAACTCCCCAATCAATCAGTTTTAAACTAGGTTAGTTGATCTATTTGATGCATAATTTATTATATTTATGTGGTCTACTATCTTATATAGTGATGTATCCTATACATATATATACATATATACACATGTACACACACTGTACATACATACGTATGTCATGTATGTATGCATATCATCCTTCACTATTGATACAGCCGTAAATTGGGTGGCTGCCTAAATTTAATCCATAAATATCCAAAGAGACTACGGACGGCTATACAATATAAATTACATTTTAAGGTAAAAAAGTCTAAAAACTCAGACAGGGATGGACAAACCCAGATCTGGGGTTTAAAAAACCCAGCTCTGAGTTAACCTGTCCCAAAGCCAGGTGGGGACTCTGTTCCCTTTAGGAGGCAAATCTAAAGGGGGGGGGTCACTACCTGGATTCGCACCCCGCACTCATCTGCAGACTTTGGCTACGCTCCGTACCGGGCGGGTGGGGTCAGTCTATCGGACCTTTAGGGTGCCCAGCCTTGAAAAGTAGGCACGTTGCAGAAAACGGGGTCCCGCTGACCCGCAGAAAGTGGGGGATGGGCGGTGGTCGTGCATGCATTTCCCCACTTTTGCCCCCCAGCAGATCAGGGCCATTCGAATCTGCCGCACCCTCCCACCCACCTGGTTGACTCCCAGACCGCAAAGCAGGCTGGGAATTGTAGGAAGGTGAGTGTCACCACCTTGTGAGGCGGGGGGGGGCGGAGAGAGGAGGAGAGCAAGGGTCGGTCCTAGCTTGCAGTTTGGGGAGGCTACCCTGTCTCCCCAAACTTGTTAATTGGGGGGCAAAGAGAAGCCACCTCTGCATCTTTTTCCATTAGAAAACCTCGCAAGGAAGCTTAACCTTCCCTCCCCCCCCCATCCTGCCTGCCTCGCCCCCCCCCAATTATTTCTCCTATTCCTCCTCTGCTCCTGGCTTCACCTTTGCAAGGTCGCCTCCGCCCATCTGTCCCTGGAGGATCAAGGGAGATTACCATCCAATCTGCCTCTTTACTTTCCTGCTTTAAAACCTGCTGACAGGTTGGCAGATTAAATTTTCTGACCCCCCCCCTGCTCCCCATCTTCCTCCCTCCTCCATTTTTCTTCCAATTCAGCAGGCCAGCCAGCAACAAGCTGGACTTAGTTCCCCCCCCTCCCCCCTCCCTGTATCCTCGGAGGGCGAGGTGTTTCTGAGCATGCATGGATTGCCCCTCAAATTTCTTTCAATGGCTGAAATAAAAGGACAGGCTCTTTTGGAGCATCGCCTTAGAATACCTGGTCCTAATCTTGACCAGGTAATTAGGAATATATGGCTGGATACTTAAAAATAGAGCCTTGGGTTCCCCCCCCCCATTGGATCTTTTCATTCTATTCTATTCTATTTCTAGCAGCTGAATATGTAATTTAGATATTTAGGAAAATGCTGGATGGTTCTCTGTTACGAAGAAGGCTATAAGTTTTAAAGTCGGATCGGTCCAGGAAATTTGCCAAAACTCAAAACTGGCTTGAATGAGATTGTACTTTTTCAAAGCTCATTTATAAAGGAGAATTTTTTTTGGGGGGGGTTATCCAGTGCCAGAGTCTCCCATGATATCACTAAGTGAGGAATGTATTTTTACGATGACTATGATCATGATTTATCACTTAATTGCTTTTGTGTACACTGAGAGCTTAAGCACCGGAGACAAATTTCTTGTGTGTCCAATCACACTTGGCCAATAAACTATTCTGTTTTGTTCTGTTCTGTTTCATTCCATTATTCTATTCTATTCTATTCTATTCTATTCCATTCTATTCTATTCTATTCTATTCTATTCTTCATTCCTTCTATTCTATTCTATTCTATTCTATTCTATTCTATTCTATTCTATTCTATTCTATTCTGTTCTATTTTTCATTCCTACTATTCTATTCTATTCTATTCTATTCTTCATTCCTTCTATTCTATTCTATTCTTATTCTATTCTTCATTCCTTCTATTCTATTCTATTCTATTCTTATTCTATTCTTCATTCTTTCTATTCTATTCTATTCTATTCTTATTCTATTCTTCATTCCTTCTATTCTATTCTGTTCTATTCTATTCTATTCATTCCTTGTTATAAATATGTTATAAATAGACGTAAATATGTATGTAAATATATAAATACGTAAATAGTATAAAATGCAATATGTAAATGGTACAAAAGATCAATGACTAGGAAGATATATGGTATATGCTATAGTATGTATGGCAAAATAACACTGTGTTCAACCTGTTTTTAAATGTTTACTTAATAAAAATTAAAAAAAAAAACAGCAACCAGGAGAGAGTTGAATAAAAGTGGTCACTGTTTATTGACTAATGCCGTGTTTGGGCCAAGAGACCCTCCCTGTCTTCTAACCCGGGCTGATCCTTTTAATTCCAAACCCTGTGCTCTTTAATTAAAAAGGTTACCCCAGGGGACGGGTGTGCCGATCAGCAGATGCCACCGGGCAAAGAAAAGAACCAATTTGCCATTCTTAGCAGCTCCTCTAATCCCCTCTAATTCAGTTACCAATCTGGAGCGCCTTAAGAGGATTGGGGGCATTTGCTAAATTAGATAAGTAAAAATAACAAATGTCACCAAGTTGGAAGGCTCGGGATGGGCGGGGGGGGGCTGAATCTGGAGGGCAGGAGCTGTTTCTCGAAGGTGAGGGTGTCGCCCCCCAAAAAGTGGACGAAAACAGGTCGATGGAAAGCTCTCCATTTTTAGCTCTGAGAAAACAAATTGGTCTCTTCTTCCTTTTTGTTTTTAACAGAATGCAAATTGCTTGGCCTCCGGTGGGATTTAACCGTGGTCTGGAATAGGGACAGCCATCGGAAGGGGCTAAAATGGCAAAGTCAAGTTTTTGCAGGCTCCTTCTTCGGGTTTTTTTGGGGGGTGGGGGATTTGCTGTCTAACAGAAGCTCCTGGACTGGAAAGAAGCTGAAGAGAAGGCTAAGAATGAATTAGGACAGTGTTTCTCAACCTTGACCATTTTAAGGCATGTGGACTTCAACTCCCAGAATTCCACAGCCAGCAATGCTGGCTGTAGAATTCTGGGAGCTGAAGTCCACATGCCTTAAAATGGTCAAGGTTGAGAAACACTGAATTTAGGAGGACAGCTTCTTCACGAGGCCAACTCTGTTCTCTTGTCACTCCAGAGCCAGGGTGTACATGACAACTTTTAAGACTTGCGGGCATGTATGGTTGGCTGGGGGATTCTGGGAGTTGAAGTCCACAAGTCTTAAAAGTTGCCAGGTTTGGGCACCCTTGCTCCAGAGCACAGGATTATAGAAGGATGACCAAGATCTAAATGGCCAGCATCTGGATAGTTAGGAAAGTCTTGGGGGATCAGGATCTCAAGAGCTTCTCTTGGGTTTCATTCCTGGTTTTGATTGGATGGATGGATGGGTGTGTGGGTGGGTATTTTGGTGGATGACACCCACCCACTCCTTGTTCTATTCCTCCAACAAGTCAATTTGGGGTCAGATGATCAACAGCTTCCAAATGTGTGGATTTACTTCACGAGGAGCCCCATTTTCCTCAGCAGGATCTAGTCAAAATGGCAGACATCACAGCACAACTGAAAGTACTTGGCTGAAGTTAGAGAAGGGCCACCAGCACTCAAGGGGAAATTGGAACTTAGTTCGCTTGTGGCTACATAAGGATTCTCGGCTGAGTCCTCTCTTAATGCTACCTCAAAATCTTCAGACGTGCGAGATCCCATTAATGTAATCTTACAACAAAGTAGAACTAGTTCATCTGAGTGTGCTTCCTGTGTAGACGAACTCACTGGGCTGGCAGTGGTTGAGTTGAACTCTTAGGGGTGTTGCACGATGTAATCCATCAGAATCTAAACAAACCATGATCCGAATGATACAGGTTCCGTCAACACATCAACACACTTACTCCCGCCTTGGCACGTGTTGTGCCAAAAATATTAAGCTTGCAGGAGATTTGACCGAGGACACAGTTGTGATCGGTGATCAATCCAGGGCCAAAGAGAATCAATAGCTTTAATTGATGGAAGGCAAAAAGCACCTGGCCAGCTGTCACCCCACATTCAAGCTGCTTCTTGTTTTCAAAAGGGTCTCCATTCCTTGACCCCGAGCCACGTTGACCAACTGTTTATATCTCCTTCTGCAGGTTGAATGAAGTCCACTGATAACAGCTTGCATTGCTGACAGGAAAAATATTACACAATTTAAGTTGCTGTTTAAGGCACACCTGGCTGTTATTCTAAGGCAGTGGTTCTCAACCTGTGGGTCAGGACCCCATTTGGGGTCGAACGACCATTTCATGGGGGTCACCAAACAAGGCTGTCCGCCATTTTTTTCCCCTTTTCTTTGGCCACGCCCCTGGCACCTGGTGATGTATAAGTGGTTGGGGGTCACCACAACATGGGGAACTGTATTATGGGGTCGCGGCATTAGAAAGGTTGAGAACCACTGTCCTAAGGAATTGGCAACCTGTCTGTCCAGACCTGAATTGATTGTGATTTCCTGCCTTAAGTCCTGCATTTTATTAGATTTAAACTAGCTTGCAAAGCGTTGGTTGCAGACCAGATCAAATTCCACTACAGGCAAGTCCTTGACTTACAACCACAACTGGGGAGCAGAATCTCTGTGGGCTAAGCAAGACAGTTGTTAAGTGGGTCACACCCAATTTTTACCTTTCTCGTCACAGTTGTTCCGTGAATCACTGCAGTCGTTAAGCAAATCCAGTTTTCCCCCCTTGTCAGGATCCAGCTGGGAAGGTCACAAATAGTGATCACACGATCTGCTGGGATGCTGCAATTGTCAAAAATACACACCCGTTGCCGAGCGTGCCAATTTCGATCACGTGACTGGGAGGACACCGTGACGGTTGTTAAGTGTGAGGATCGATTGCAAAGTCACTTTTTTCAGCGCCGTTGTGAGTTTGAACGGTCACCAAACGAACGGCGGTAATTCGAAATGCAACTGTACTGGGGTTTTTTTTGATCATGTACTTATCCCAATTACAGAACCAATTGTTTTGACCCGGAATTAAAACGGCAACAACGCCCCACACACAAAACCATTCTTGCTTTGAATAGATTTCGATGCGTTGTTTTTTTTTAAACATTTTAATTTTTTGCTTTTTTTTTTAAATCCACCAACAATTTGATGTAATTGCACAGGAAACCGCTTGCCACAAACTAAGACAATAATAAATAGAGATCCATCCACAAAAATAATTTGAATGAAATGTTTCTCATCTACAGCCGAAGCACAGTTATTTCTTTTGTTAAAAAAATGACTAAGATAACTAAACTAAAAAAAAAAAAAAATCTAACACCAAGCATTTATTTTAAATTTGAGAGTCCAGTTCCTAAATGCATTGGAGAGAAGTAAAAATAATCATATTATATATTAAACACTTATCACTGTTTTTACCTGTACAGTTTAATAAAATACAGCTTGGATAAATGAAGCCTTATGTAGAAAATGTTCGGTTTCTCCATTTATTTAATTTCAGCTTGCTGTCCTCTTTGTCACTTTAGACCCCACATTAAAAAAATGACTAGCAAAAGAGGTTTCATTGCTGTTTAAAATTCATATGATGGCTATAAAATACAAAAAAAATTCCCTCCAGTTTAGTTGTGAATCAAAAATAATTTGATGGGATTGTTCTATAAAATGTGGACTCCTATTTTAATCAGCATTGGATTCAAATTGTATGAAATTAGCAAAATGTTCCACCTGCAGATGAAAACCACAATTAAAAAGATGGTTTGACAAGTTCACTGTTTGCTATCCCTTCCAGCGACTTATTTTAGATTTTTTTTAAATTTCTGATGGAACTTTTACTGGATTTTTTTTTTTAATAAAAATTTAGGAGGGGAAAAATCATCAAAGGTTTCCTACGTGAAAAGATGCTTTGACAAGCTGACAATTACTCTCCTTCCACAAACTTTTTTTAAGGGCGCACATGCTTATTTTAGATTTTTTTTTTTAATTTTTTGAGGAAGTCTTATTAGGTTTTTTTTCTTTGTTTTTTTTTTACAAAATTTGGGACAAGGGAAAAATCATCAAAGTGTTTCCTACTTAAGAAGACATTCTGACAAACTGACAATTATTCCTCCTTCCACCTTTTTTTTTTTAAAGAATGCCTCTCCTGTCTTTTTTTATCGTTTTTCAAAATTAATTTAGAACTTTTATTAGGTCTGTGGGTTGTTGTTTTTTGATAAAAATTGGGGAGAGCGTTTCCTACGTAAAAAGACGTTTTAACAAGCTGACAAATTACTCTCCTTCCATCAAAACTTTTTTCAAGGGTACACGTGCTGACTTACAATTTTAAAAAATGGATAGAACATTGATTAATTATTATTATTTTTTACAGAATGTGGAGAGGGGGAAGAATCATCAAAGTGAGATCCCTAACTAAACGTTAAGGCCAATGTTGCTGCCTTAATAAAAAGCCGAGAGATTCTGCATTGGTTTTTCATTCACGATTCAAAAGGGTTCTGCTTCAAGCCACTTAATTTTACCCCCCATCCACTCACCCACCCACCCACCCACCCACCCAAAAGGCTTTAAAAATTCCCATTAATCTCCGCAGGGACAAAATGTTAAGAGTTGACCTTGGAATTTCATTGGGTCTAGCATCCTGTTTGTCAAAGGGAATACTGAAATATTGAAATCTGGAGGCCACTCAAGTTTTTGAAAAGCATATCGTGCACTGGGTGGAGAAACAAAAATCTGCAGGCCTTCATACACCCATCTGATCTGTCCAGGTGATGACTTTAAGGTTGTATCTATCTAAATACCTAGGTCAGCTTTTCTGTTTTAGCCTCTCCAACTAAACCTATTTTTTTGGGGGGGGGGGGAAGACGTTGGGAAGACAGGAAAGCCACAGAGGCATCGCTGGAACTTTCTTACAGGTGTCCGAGAATGAATCTGATGGATTGATCCTGGGGTGTCATTCCTTTGCAGATTGAGATGGTCGATTAAACAAAAGATCATTTTAATTCCTTGATCAAGACAAGCGTCTTAGCTTTTCAGTGTAGTTGCTTGCACAAGGAAGAAACCAGCTAATAAAGGATGAAGGTTACAAAGACTTCATAATGGAGAAAAAGCACTATCAGATAGACTTCCAGGAGGAGACTAAGATGGATGCTGTTGACTACGCTGAAAGTAGCAGAGACTTTTGGACCAGACTCTGTTCCTGGGGGGGTCGCTGAGATCTGTGGCAGACCCTCAGAGACATCTCCATAGCTTGGGACTCTTGCTTTCAAGGGTGGGCTTTCTCCTCCTGTTCGAACGAGCTCGTGGGTCAAGGAGACACTTGGATCAGGTTCTCTGAAAGAGTGCTTAAGTAGGAACTCAACAACTGGCTCTTGTGTAAAACTCTACGTTGAGCTAATAAACATGGAAAAATCCTACCCCCTCCAAAAAAAATGCCAAAGGCCAACAGGAGCCTGGTCAACTCAAAAGTCCCCCTGAAGTTCTCTCAGAAGCTGCTCTTGCAGAAACTCAAGTGAGGACGAAGAGATGGTTTGACCCACCCTGGCGAGATGTCAACGCCTGCAAAATTGGTTTCTTCCTGCTCAGTGCTGGCTTCCTTGATGAGTCCGTCGGATACTTGTCACCTGGGTTGCTCACCCTAGTAGTGCTAAATTCCTGGAAGGTCCTGGCTGATCTTCACAGCGGCTGTTGACCCGAGTGGAATCCAGTCGTGCTGGGAGAAAAAGGTCCCTCTCCCCACGTTGGGCTTCATCTTTTCCAGAAATCTAAAGCGCCAGTTCAGCTGAGCTGGGGTGCTGAAGGGTTCAGAGCCCCAAGTCCCGATTGAAAGCAGTTTCGTGTCCCAGTCTAGGCTCTTAACTTCTCCAGTTCAACCTCTTGAGCTGTTGGCTTCCCCAAGCAAGGTCGCAAAAGCAAGCGGTGGCAGATGTTTAGATAGGCAGGACCGAAGGGAAAGGGAAGGACGAGAAGATCAAGCAAAGAGGCAGAATAAAATGGATGGGAGAGGGGTTGCCCTTCCCTGCCCCTCCCCGAGACAACGCCAAGGGTTTCCTGCCTGGTGGGTGCCCAGCCCCGCCATTCACAAGACCTGGAACTTCCAAGAGCTTTGATCTTTGTAATCCAAGCAATCGGCAGCATTGAAGTTGAGCTTCCAGGAGGCCGTGGGGTCTTTGTAGTCCAGGCAATCCACCGAGCTGAAGCTCATGCCTGCCCCGCTGTAGCCCTGGCTGGAGAGGGTAGCTGGGGACTGGCTCAGGTGGCCGCCCATGGTTGGGGTGGCCAGGGGGCTCAGCGCGGCACCAGGTGCGGAGAGCTGAGGGTGCATGGGGGACAGGTAGGAGCTGCAGTCAAGGCTACTGAAGTAGGAAGTCGAGCCGGCGTAGGTCTGGGTGTAACCCGGTGCCTGGGTGTAGGTCATGGGGAAGGCGGCCGACCGCTGCATGCAGGGGGTGGTGGAGGAGGCCAGGGGGTCTGGCAGCGGAGAGATGGAGGCCGGGCTCCAGATAGAGACGGTGGCGTTGGCGCTGGAGCTGGGGGCCACCGAGGTGCCGGTGGGCAGAGGGCTGTACTGCCCGTTGGCGCTGGTTTCGGAACTGGTCTCAGGGGCTGGAGAGCTTTTTTTCTTGGCTGGCCGGGCTTTGGCCTGTCCGCTGCTCTGCTGTTGCTGCTGGCGACATTTGGCCCGGCGGTTCTTGAACCAGACCTGGAAGAAAGGAGAGAGCAAGGTGTGCATGGCGGAACTGAAAAGAAGGATCAATGTTTCCCTCTGGGCGGAGGAGGCATTTAAGTGCGACTCAGGCAGATCAAGTCTGGACATGTTATTGGCTTGTCTTCCCTTCTTCTTTTTGCAAATAATTCAAAGTCGTGAACCTAATCAACAGACCTTCCTCCTCCTATTGTCCCCACAATAACAAGCTATTGGGGCAGGTTAGGCTGAGAGAGACTAGAACTCACCATCGTCTGACGATTGGCCCAAATTCACCCAACTGGCTTTCATGCCTAAAGCAGAACTAGAACTCACAGTTGCCTGGTGATTGGCCCAAATTCACCCAACTGGCTTTCATGCCTAAGGCAGAACTAGAACTCACAGTTGCCTGGTGATTGGCCCAAATTCACCCAGCTGGCTTTTATGCCTAAGGCAGGACTAGAACTCACAGTCACCTGGTGATTGGCCCAAATTCACCCAGCTGGCTTTTATGCCTAAGGCAGGACTAGAACTCACAGTTGCCTGGTGATTGGCCCAAAGTCATCCAGCTGGCTTTCCTGTCTAAGGTGGAACTAGAACTCCCCATCTGCCACATCCTAACCTGGTGCCTTAACCACTAGATCAAACTGCCTCTCGGGGGACAATCATGTCATGGGATAACAACAAGGGAGATCAGGAATCTATTTCTCTTGGCTGATCATCTTTCTTAAGACCCAAAGTATTCCACCTGTTTTCGCAATGAAAATATTGGGGCTTTGATTGCTACCTGCTACCATCTCATGGATCTACCATCTGCACGAATCTAGGAAGCAGTCCTGGGACTCCTCCATCTACAGCTTCTGTCTGTCTGTCTGTCTACCTACCTACCCACCTACCTATCTTATCTCTATCATCTCTTTCTCTGGAAACTAATCAAGGAGAGAACCAGTCTAGAACTAAGGAGAAATTTCCTGACAATGAGAACAATTCATCAGTGGAACGGCTCGCCTCCAGAAGTTGTGGGTGCTCCAACACTGGAGGTTTTGAAGAAGAGATTGGACAACCATTTGTCTGAAATAGTATAAGGTTTCCTGCTTGAGCAGGGGGTTGGACTAGAAGACCTCCAAGGTCCCTTCCAACTCTGCTGTTCTGTTATCTTGTTATCTATTCATCCATCCATCCATCCCTCTCTCCCTCTCTCCATCCATCCATCCCTCTCTCTATCTATCCATCCCTCTCTCTCTCCCTCTCTCCATCCATCCCTCCCTCCCTCTCTCTCTCTATCCATCCCTCTCTCCCTCTTTCCCCTCTCCATCCATCCATCCATCCATCCATCCATCCATCCATCCATCCATCACTCTCTATCTATCTATTCATTCCTCTCTCTCTCCCTCTCCATCCATCCATCCATCCCTCTCTATCTATCCATCCTTCTCTCTCCCTCTCTCCATCCATCCATCCATCCATCCATCCCTCTCTATCTATCCATCCCTCTCTCTCTCTCCATCCATCCATCCCTCTCTCTCTCTCTATCCCTCTCTCTCCCTCTCTCCCCTATCTATCTATCTATCTATCTATCTATCTATCTATCTATCTAATCTATCTATGCCTTTCTGTTCTATAAATGGAACCATTATGTTTCCAGACAGCCTCAATTTAACACTACGCTAAATTAATTAATTTTCTATGGATCTTGCCCCCATTCTTTCCCTTAGCTTTCAGCTCATCCCAATCGCTATCGCAGACAACTCTTTTGCGGGGCCGTCGCTGCACTTTGTTATACAGCCTTTCACCCACAGATTGGAAAGTGAGGATAACAAAAACAGGCCAACGCTTCGCAGAAAGCTCACCTGGACTCTGGACTCGGGCAGGTTGATCTTCAGGGCAACCTCTTCACGCATGAAGATGTCCGGGTAGCGGGTCTTGGCAAACAGGGCCTCCAAAATATCTAGCTGGGCCCGTGTGAAGGTTGTGCGCTCGCGTCTCTGCTTCCGTGGAGTTGCTGCAGGGGAAAAAAATGTGACGGAGTCAGGGAAGGAGCAAAATCCATGCTCTACCATCAGAACCAGGCTGGTTCTATCTCCATCTCTCTACACGTCCCACAAAACTCCTCTTCTTGTTGGCCTCCTTTTATCTCCTCAGCTTGGTCATTAATTTCCCTAAATAATACTGGTTAGTGCTTCATTGGCATCCTTGGTGCTCTCTGAGCTTGCTTGGTTTTTTTGCAGACTTTTCGTGACCCAACTAGGTAATGTCTTCAGTGCTATAAAAGAGTGAGGTTTATAAATATTATGCAACCCCGACTCCTTTCTAGCACTGATGATGTTATCTAGTTGGGTCATGAAATGTCTGCAAAAAACAACCAAGCTCAGAGAGTACCAAGGACCCCACAGTTGTCCTCCTCCTTCTCCTCCTCCTCCTCCTCCTCCATGCCACAAGCCCCACTCCTTTCTTGCACTGATGATGTTACCTAGCTCGGTAGTGAAACATCTGCAAGAAAACAACTTAGCTCAGAGAGCACCAAGGACCCCACAGTCTTCTCCTTCTCCCAACCCCCCCTCCCTTCTAGACTGATGATGTTACCTAATTGGATCATGAAATGTCTGCAAAAAACAACCAAGTTCAGAGAGCACCAAGGATCCTACAGTCTTCTCCTTCTCCCAAATCCCACTCCCTTCTAGCACTGAAGACGTTATCTAGTTGGGTCATGAGATGTCTGCAAGAAAACCTCCTAGCTCAGAGAGTGCCAAGGACTCCACAGTTCAGCCCTGACCTACAAATAGTCCCTTTTAGTTATTTCACCTGCTTGATGATTTAAAAGCAGATTAGACCAGCTTCTAAAAAGCAAAACTTTAGCCATGATGGTGGTAAGGGAGAGCCAGTTTCATGTAGGGTTAATGAAACACCAGGAAGCCATGGGTTCTAGGCCAGGGGCAGGCAACCTTGGCTCTTTTATGACTCGTGGACTTCAACTCCCAGAATTCCTGAGCCAGCAGGAATGGCAACCTCTCCCTTTCCCCTCAGTAGGGCTGGCTCAGGAATTCTGGGAGTTGAAGTCTACCAGTCATAAAAGAGCCAAGGTGGCCTACCTCTGCTCAAATGCCTGAATTTTGATCACGTGACTGTGAGGAAAAAATATTTAAACCAGGGGTCTTCAAACTTGGCCCTTTTATGACTGGTGGACTTCAACTCCCAGAATTCCTGAGCCAACACGGCTCAGGTTGGAAACCTCTCCCTTTCTCCTCAGCAAAAAAAGATGATTAAAGACTCCCAGGGCTATAGACAGGCTGAAATTTCTGCACAAAAAAATAAAATTAAGGCAACATGGGTCATCTAAGATCTTTACCGTTACCCTCTAAGTAGCAAATCTATACGCCATGCATATTAGTGACTATGGATTATATTAATGATCTTTATTACAGCAGGCTAGCTATCAATAATCAATAGTTGATTATTGGCAGTTTTTGTTCACTGGATGTAAAATATGAAGGGATGTTTTTTCTGCTGATTTTTGCTCGTTAATTTTTGCTTTTGATTTAGGAAAGCCAAGAGGGATTTTAAGCTGAAGTTAAAGACTTCAAGTCAACCTGTGTAGTTCCATTAATAAACTTTATTGGAAATATATAGTGAATTCCTCAGAGGAAGTGTGGGGAAAAAATTATTAAAGGGATGTTTGATTTTTAGAACAGTGAATACAATCATAAAAGCAAACTGCACAATGGAATAAAGAAATGTGGAGGGCAAATAATTTTAAACAGGATTATTTTTTTAAAAAAAATAAACAAACAGTTAAGCATAATTTAGCTGAAACAATCTCGGAATCTTTGTTCCCTTTTTCCTCACTGATTGTTATGGTTTAATTTACTTTAATGCTTCCTTCAAGTTTGCAATTGGTATAGTAAAAAGATAAACCAAAAAAAAAAAACCCCAACTCTTGTTTATTGCTTATTTAGCCTTAAATATTTAGCCCCTTTTAAATCCGCATTTCTTTTATGGAAGTAATGGCAAATTTTGAAAGATGGCTTTAAAATCCGGATTTGAAGGAACCACACTTTTAACATGGTCCTGAACTGTAAAAAAAAAAAAAAATCCCACCCGTTGCAGCCGTTTTTATTGCAACAAAAACATCCTGTGTTGCAGTATTATTCTGTGTCACAATTACATTCTGCCTTACGAACTGTTGTAAAATGCTTTAAAATGCAGATTTGAGGGAACCACACTTTTAACATGGTCCTGAACTGTAAAAAAAAAAAAAAAAATCCCACCCGTTGCGGCAGTTTTTATTACAACAAAAACATCCTGTTACAGTATTATTCTGTGTCACAAACGATTACATTCTGCTTTACGAACTGCTGTAAAGGTTTATATTCTGAATTATAAATTGCTTTATATATCGTTTTCTTTTCTTTTTTTCAAGCTAGAAATAGGTGTCTTTATGCCTAAAGAACTGAGAACCCCTTATAAACAAATAATTGTTGAAGTCCACACATCTTAAAATTGCCCAGTTTGCTTACTACTCTAAATATTGTCTCCCAATTTTATTTTATTTGCGCAGCTTCTAGTTCCTCACCAGACTTACTAAGTGAGAATCAGCCATTATCTCCTTCTTATAATATGGGGAGAGGGGAAGGTTTAAGCAGAACTGTAATTGTTCACCTAACATCCACAGAAAAGAAATGAACTAACCAATGAACAGATTACAGCCATAATACACATTATTGGAAACTCCAGTACAGCTAAAAGAGAAGCAGCTTGAGAACAGCTATTTTTATTCTAGCCATGTTCCAAGACAAGAAGGAAAACTCTTCTGCATGATTTTATTTAGGAAAAAAGGCGGGTCAGGCTTTCTAAACTGGAGAAAGAGAAATTTTAAATTTTATTTAAAAAAAGAAGAAAGCAAATTTCACCATCCCAAATTTGCGCGAATAGAGAAACGGGAGCTTTCTACTTTTCAAAAGTTATCCTTTATCCCTTCCCCAGAAATATTTTTGATTTTTGATTTCATATGAAATAAGCCCATGCAGGAGGTTTGAAGGAGGGGATTGTCTGTGAAAATTTACAGGATTTCCTTCCTTTTAAAAAAACTACATTGACTCTCAGTGTCCAGAACATGATAACTCATACAATACTGACAAACCAAACAAAACAAGAATTAAAAAAAAATCCACTTACTGGGGTATCCCACTGCTGAATGCAGTAAATCCATCCCGGGTCCAGCCAAAGTTAACCCATTGACTGCATAATGTGGTTGCTTGATGTAGGACATCATGCTCAGAAAAATGGTGTCCCCAAGTCTTCTCTGTGGCTTTGGAGTCAAGGGGACGCTCCTTCTGGTCTTCAGTGAGAAGATGGCTTTTGGACTTATCCTGGCCACTCAGCATCCAAGGGCAGCTGAAAAAAAAAAGACCCAGGGCAAATTGGTGGTCTCCTGCCCCAATGGGGCCAGTGGTGGACAACAGCCTGGCCAATGGAGAGCAGAAGACAAGAGAGAGAGAGTCTTCCACCCTTTCAAAAATGGTGGGATGGCTTGGAGAAGACAAGAGTGGGGGGGGGGTTTCTTTCTTTCTTGCACAATACAGCCAATGAGATGGGCCTTTTCAAAACTTGACTTTGGAGCCCCACCTTCCAAGCAGCATTTAAACACACAAACACACACACACCTACAGGCAAAGGCACCCAGTGTGAAGGAGGGGCCAACAGGGCTGGGGTTTTTTAGCAACTCAAAAGAGGAAGCTAATGGGTCCCCAGCAAAGCAATCACCTCCATTCTTTGTGAGTCTATTCTTACTTAAATGAGCAGGTTAAGTCAACTTATTAAATGTTATGGATGCCTCCCACCCCCACTTGGTTTTCATTTAACCCCCCCCCTCAAAAAAAAAAAAGCTGGTAGAAAGTCTACAGTACATGATTTTGCTCTTTCAAGGGGGAAAAAATTGGCACTTAAGACTTGGCAAATGAATTTGTTCACTCCCTCTTCTGGAAAAGTCCAGATTTTATTTTGTCCTGGAGTGATCTGAATTACAGAGTATCAGAGCTGGGGGAACCTTGGAGGTCTTCTAGTCCAACCCCCTGCTCAAGCAGGATACCCTATACCATTAGGGACAAAACTTATCCAATCTCTTCTTGAAAACCTCCTTAACTGTTAACTGATTTGAGTCTAGAGCAAAAGGCTTGCATGCATATGAAAATAAAGCAGGATAGTCCCCTTTTACAGTATGGGACTGAGTTTAATGCCTACCTTACAGGATTGTTCTCAGCCTGGCTGAGATGATAAACAGGCAGATAACTTGAAAATGCTGGTTGCATCCAAGCTAAATTCTCATCCTTGGTTGATGGGTATATAGATTTGAATCCATTGAAGGCTAAATTTGGAGTGGGGCTGTTTAAAACTCTGCCACTTATTGCTCAGACTAGGCTGAGTATACGCAGAGTGTTTTTCTCTTACAGTCTCTTAATAATGGCACCACCTGAGATCAGATCCCAAAGTGGCTTGGAAATTAAGATTCAGAACTCTTGGAGTTAATTTCTAAGCTATTCCTCAGTCCATCCTAGCGTCCAATTAAAACTCAACAAACAGCAAAGACATTGTAGAAATCTTGCTTAATAAATGAGTGTAAAGAACTAAGCCTAATTTTTAACACCAGCTTATTATAAGTCTTGCAAGACTCCTGCCATTTCCTGGTTATTTTTTTTCTGCTTTCAAAAAGTCACGGGGGAGGGGGGAGACAAGGAAAATAACAGACACATTTTTCTCCTCTTCCGTTTCCTTTTGGGATTAGGAAATATCAGACGTGATGTACAGGAGACCCTGCACCCTAATATCTCTCATTTTGCTTACTCAGTTAACAACCGTTTGGAAGAGGAGAGAGAGGTGTAAAAATCAGCTTGCTTGCAATAAGATGAAGATCACGTAAAACAAAATCATCCTAATTATCATGCAATTTTTCTGCCTTGCAGTCAGAAGGGATGGATTGTGTGTCGGGAGGGGGGGAGAAATCCTGCAAGTGAGTCACCAAAAGATTTGGAGAGAATAAACCAGTCATCAGAGTGTTAGAGTTTAAAATCAGGAAACCAGAATTATCTTAGTAAAAAAAAAAAAAATGAGTTCAAGCTGTTAAGATGGGGTGGTCCAAAAATATAGGCTAGCCAAAAATAGACATAAAGGAAAACTTCTGTCATCTAACAGTTTCCATATTGGTTCTGTCTGTCTGTCCAGCTAGCTGTCTTCTACTGATCATCTATCCATCTTCCATCCACTCATCCATCCATCTCTCTATCATCTATCTATCTATCTATCTATCTATCTATCTATCTATCTATCTATCTATCCACTCATCCATCTCTCTCTCTATCATCTATCTATCTATCTATCTATCTATCTATCTATCTATCTATCTATCTATCCATCCACTCATCCATCCATCTCTCTATCATCTATCTATCCATCCATCCACTCATCCATCCATCTCTCTCTATCATCTATCTATCTATCTATCTATCTATCTATCTATCTATCTATCTATTTATCTATCATCTTTTACTTATTATCTATCCATCCTCCATCCACTCATTCATGTACTCATTTATCCATCAATCCACCTCTATATCTCTATCATCATATCTATCTGTCTGTCTGTCTATCTGTCTATCTATCTATCTATCTATCTATCTATCTATCTATCTATCTATCATCTATCCTATCTCTCTCTATCTATCCTCATGTTTTCTGCTCTTCAGTTTTCTGTTTTTTCTTTCTCTTTTTCCTTTTGTTTTTAATTCAGTGTGAACACAAGTGGAGCAGGAAGAGAGAAGCTTAAGAGGATGAATCTCCTCAGTGGAAATTGAAGGGAAGGCTGTGAACTTCAGCCTTTCGTGGCTCTAAATGTTTTCTGGATCAGGCTTGCAAATCTACCTCTGCAGCTCCAGAGGAATCAAACAAAAGGATCTGGGGGGGGGGATCACGCAAGGCTGAATTTTATAAACAACCCCAGTTTCTCTCCTACATCACTGCAAACTCTTCTTTCCTCTCCATTTCCATCTCCCCAATTCATCCTGGAAAGAATTTACACGTCTGTTCAATTTACTCCTCTTTTTTTCCCCCTCTCCTCTTTTGTTGAATGGCTGCTGCTTCCCCCCACCACCACCACCTTCCCTTCTCTGCCTGACCCACCCCTGCCTTGGGTCTTCACCTTGTGAGGTGTCCCACAAAGACCCACCCCGTAGTCTCTCTCCCTTTGGACAGAGCAAATAAACACAACAGCCTTACAGTTTCTCCAAGCTTGGGCTGAAAAACTGTGCGGGTTTCCAACCGCTTTCTTTCAATTAACAGCTCGGATTGGGCTGATCAGCCCCAGAAGGAAAAAGGTGGCCCAGCAAAGTGGTAGACTGACATTTAACTGCTTTTTGACACCTTCCACCCCTGGCTTGGTGGGGAGGCAAACTTGGGGGAGGAAGAAGACAAATCAGCTTTTCTGGCTCTGTTTCTCTGTCTAAAAAGAACTTTGCGGAAGTTTCAACATCTTTCTTTCTTTCTTTCTCTTTCTTTTTTTCTTTTAAAAAAAGATTTTTGCATAAGGGACATTTGAGTGCCTTTATTCTCTTCAGTTAAGATTGGGGGGAAAGGAGGTGGCTTTTAACAGACAGCTGACAGTCACTTTGTGAAGAGGACTTTACAAAACTTCAACTAAGTTTTTTTCTCCCTAATTATTACATCGTAAGCCGCCCAAAGACTTTGTAAATTGAATGAAGATGTTATACATCTCTTTATTTGTACCCCATCTTTTATTATTTTTTTTACAAATAACTCCAGGTGGCGAACATATCCAGCACGCCTTCCGCCTCCTATTCTCCTCACAACAACAACCTTGTGAGGTGGGTTGGGCTGGGAGGGAAAGACTGTCCCAGCTAACTTTCATGGCTAAGGCAGGACTGGAACTCACAATCTCCTGCTTTCTAACCTGGTGCTTTTAATCGCTAGACCAAATTGGCTCTCTTAAAAATAAGAAATTTCTTTCTTTCTTTCTTTCTTTCTTTCTTTCTTTCTTTCTTTCTTTCTTTCTTTCTTTCTTTCTCTTTCTTTCTTTAATGTCAAATTGGCTCTCTTAAAAATAAATTTATCTTTTTATTTAATGTATGGTGTCTACAGAGGTCTTGCATGATATATAAATTTAGTTTAAATAAAGTGGTATAGGGTTTCCTGCCTGAGCAGGGGGTTAGACTAGATGACCTCCAAGATCCCTTCCAACTTTTATTATTATTATTATTATTATTATTATTATTATTATTATTATTATTATTATTATTATTATTTACATCTACATCTATACTGGTATGTATGATGTGGACAATACAATATAGGAGATAAAATATTAATTCAAGATAAAACCCTACTAAAATCACCATGATATGGAGCCATAGAGTTGCAATAGGATGGATGTTATAATTTGATGTCACGGGAAACTATCCACTATTCTAACTGCGTCTGGTGTGGCTGTGATGAGATGAATAGGGAATATGTAGCTATCAAAGTGTGAATGGTGTGGGATGCAAGCTTTGAACTGCTCCAGATCGGTAATAAGAAATGTTAAGAATAACTAGCTCTCCAAGAGTCTTAAACCACCCATTACCTGGTTAGTACAGCCTGATAAAGTAGGCTAAACTGCTGTGGGTTCCTTGATGAGAAAGCCAGCTGTTGTCTTAATGCATTGTGTGAACCAAAGGATCATTTCCTTGACCCACAACAGGGCTTATCTGTCAGTTATGTAAATACGGCCACCTGGTTAACCTGGATTTAAGATTCAAGATTTCCTGTAAACTCAAGTTGGTTAACCTGATTGGAGGTTGAGGAAGTCCCTCGTTAAGGACTTGACTTCATCATGAGCTCATTATGGACCATGGAAGTGTGTATACCCACACACACAAACACACACACCTTGCCTTGGCTGTAACCTCCTAATCAACAGGCAGCGACTGGAATAAATGGTTTGTAAACCATAGTTATCAATTGCATTATCCCTGCCTGGGTGTTTATCACTCTGTCCATTCAGGTTAGGGGTCTTGTGATAATCAAATCAAAAACACCTATGTTGGTTTTTATCGTTCTATTTTAGCTTTTTTGGCCCTTCAAGAAAAACAAAAGGAAATTCATTTACATGTTTATTCAGTTCTTGAAAGCGCTTACGATAAGGAGGCTGGTGTAAGGTTTGTAAACAGTAAAATATTCTTTCTATAATGAAGCTGTTCGCACCTGATAACAGACATCACCTGGATCCTTTTGAGGGATGTTTACACAGAAGTAAGTCCCAAAGAATTTATTGAAGAGGATTTCAGATTTATTCATGGTATTAGGAAATCTAACAAGGTTTTTTTTAAAATCTTTCTTTTAGAATCCTTTTCTGGTCATTGAAAAAGAATCCCCATTTCTCAATCTGGGTAAATCAATCAATCAATCTATCATCTATCTACCTATCTATCTGTCTGTCTGTCTGTCTGTCTGTCTGTCTATCTATCATCTATCTATCTATTTCTAAAATTTGGATTGCTAGCAAAGAATTAAAGGAGAACTGGAATAGCTATTTTGAACTTTTTAGTTCTTATCAACCATCTATCTTATCTATCTATCTATCTATCTATCTATCTATCTATCTATCTATCTATCTATCTACTTACCTACCTACCTACCTATCCATCCTATCCATACCTACCTATCCTATCCATCCTAATCTATTTGCCACCCATCTCACAACTCTGAAAATTAAGTAGTGTTTCCTTAATCTAGTTATGTATTCAGCCATTTTCTGAGTTTACACATTGCACTGAATTTGTTTACCTATAATCACCCTGGATAAAATGGGCAGCCAACAAATTTTAGAAATAAATAACATAAATATAAGCTCACCAAAAGGGCTTGATTTGCCCAGCATCCTAAACCATTAAAAAACTAACCTGGGTTTATTGTAAGCAAGTTTAGTTTTTCTTTCCCCCCCCCCTGTATTTATATCTGGCCTTTATTATTTTTACAAATAACTCAAGGCGGTGAACACATATAGTATACCTTCCCCTTTTTCTTTCCTCCCCAAAAAACAGCCCAGTGAGGTGGGTTGGGCTAAGAGGAAGGGATTGGCCCAAAGTCACCCAGCTGGCTTTCATGATTAAGGTGGAACTAGAACTCACAGCCTCTGGTGATTGGCCCAAAGTCACCAGTCAGTTTTTGTGGCTAAGGTGGGATTTGAACTCATAGTCTCCCACTTTCTACCCTGGTGCCATAACTACTGGCTTTATATATTTAATTTTATTGATTGAGTTCTGTCTTTTGCAATATATATAACCAGGGCAATTATTTCCTTTTATCTTCCTCCTTACTATGATTGTTTTATTATTGCATGTTGCTTTGTGCTTTTATTTAAAATGGGTGAGCAAAATATCCTTGATTTTAAAAAGGTGGGAATTCTTTTCAGTGGGAATGTAGAGTTATTTACTTTATATGAGGGAGGCAGTTGAAAAGAAAGCTGTCAAATATCCATTCAAATATATCCATGAGGAGAGACTGAAATATACCAGATTCTTAATCTAAGGAACTGAAGATTTGGAGGCTTAGCAAAATAGGCAGATGTTGTTTTGCCCTAGATATTTTTCTGTTTTAAAGGGATGTCATCTCTTTCCAGTGTCCTGGATTATAGGTTTATAAAGTGGGGGAAGGATGCAGGCACAATCCTTTAAAAGCAAATAAAAACCTTGACTTTTTCTTTTGTGATATGTTGCTTTCTGGGCAAATCTAAGCACAATAATCTCACTTTAGAGATAGGATGCGTCTATTAATCCAAAATAAAATCAGCAACGATTCTTTCCCTTTTAACAGCAATCGAAAATAATTAAACCATGTTAAATGTATTTATATTCCGTGGAAAATTTGGAATTAAAAGATGATCTATATTAGTGTGTTTGGAATAAGCACAGAAACTGGGAACACAACTGACAGCACCCTTCAAAGTAGAAAATTAAGGCTGCTATTTTTAATTTTGGGAGAAAAACTGCAGTCCGTTTTGTCGGTATAACCTTGGCTACAATAGCACCACCTGATTTAAACTCTGCAATTATTAAAAATATGTTTTAGAGAAGACAGGCATAGGGATGAGTGAACCAAGTTGCATCTGTTAATTTTAAGTCATCTAAAATAGGCGTCAAAGCAAATTTCTGGACAATAAAGGAAATCTTGAGCCTAAGAAATGTTACATTTTTTTTTCTCTACTTCAGCCTTCATTCTGTTACTCCAAATGAAGAAGGGTTGATTTCTTTAAATGAAACTGTGTAATAATCTTGAAGAATGAAATTATGACTTTTATTCGTTTCCCGAGACCTATGTGGAGACATCCAGATGGACCCTGGAAAATATTTCATTTATTTTCCCTCGAAGGATACGAAAGCATTCTTTAAGGGATCAAATATTTTCCAATTCCTTTAGTTAGAAATCATAATCATAAACATTAACCAATAGGAATTGCCCACTGTCTCTTCCTTTACTGGAGAGGATGCAGCTGGAAAAAAAGTCTCCAGTAACTTTGACTTTCAAGATACTTCTCAGAAGCAGACTAAGATAACCTCGTTAAATTATACAGAATTTTCCCCTGTGTTCCTTCCACATAATTAATTCATTTTGCCCTTTTCCAAAGCCCTGTCAACCTCTCTCCAATAACAAAACCTGCTTGCACAGCTTCATGACAAAAATATTGGTTATGATCAAACATTTCTGTGGTGGGCCCCCAAAATATGTAAAATTATTCTATTACAGTATCACGGTTCCTAAGTTTGCAAGTTGCCAAGAATTCTTAGCGGGGCAGAAGAAGAAAGCAAAATTGGACAGAAGATTGGAAAGTCATTGTAAGTTTCTAGGCTGGATCGCAAATAATGAACAGATTTTTATGTCTGTGGCGTCCTCCTAAATCTACCCAAAACATACTTCTTGCTTCTTCTCTGCAAGGATGGAGACAGTCCTTACCATCCACTGGGCTCCTGAAACTGACATTAATGTTCTGGAGTCCCGTTCCACAAACATACACACCCAATGGCTTTTGAGTTTCATAAAAAAAAAAATGGTTCTTACCTTCTCTCGGTGGCTGCTCCGATACGTAGGTGCCCAGACTAGGGACAACCGAGAGCTTCTGCAAGAAAACATAGCAAAGGTTTGGTTTGGGGATGAGTCCAACTGCAAAACCCAAGGCAGCTGTTTCCTGACCCCATGAAAGCAAAGAAAATAACCCCAGCTAGAAAGAGCAAAATGTGTTAAAAGGATAACCGTAGAAATACAGTGGGAGATCACTCCCTATAATCTGTAATAAAAAGAGAAGCTTAACCTGAATTGAAAGAGATTTAGAGCTGGGAAGAGATTGTGTAGATTGGGACTCCTCCGAGCCTTTAGATGGGAAGGTTTGGGATTTTCTCCTCTTAAGCCCTAGAGAAAAGCTGGGTGTGGTGGTGGTGGCAACGACGGCGGCAGAGAACTGGGGATGGTGGGTGATGGTGGTGGCCACAGCGGTCCCCCGTGGGGGAGGGTGTGCTCAGCAACAATTTGGTGCGCACATTGTCCAGAGTTCATTCTAAGAGCTGCTCCAGAGACCTCACATGATTGGTATTAGAGCTACGCTCCGAAGATTAATAAGTAGAAAGATCGTTCTTTGCAGGTTGATAAAGACGCTGGGGTTTCCGCTGTTGGGGTAGGATCAGCCGCCCCTGAGCCATTAGGCGGGTGGATGACATTGTGGGGGAGGATAAACACATTTGGGGGTTCATCAGGGGTTGTCCTACACATCAGAGAAGTGCCCCACGCAGTTGGCTCACTGGAGGTTAGCAGATAACAGAGTTAGAAGGGACCTTGGAGGTCTTCTAGTCCAGCCTCCTGCTGAAGCAGGAGACCCCATATCATTGGTTGTCCAATCTCTTCTTAAAAGCCCCCAGTGATGGAGCATCCACAACTTCTGGAGGCAAGTTGTTCCACTGGTTAATTGTTCTCACTGTCAGGAAGTTCCTCCTTAGTTCCAGGTTGCTTCTCTCCTTGATGAGTTCTCATCCTTTGCTTCTTGTCCTGCCTTCAGATGCTTTGGAGGATAGCTTGACTCCCTCTTCTTTGGGGCAGCCCCTTAGTTACTGCTTTCACGTCACCCCTAAAGACCCTGAGGTTGTTTGGGTTATGTACTCAAGTTGGCTTCAGCTTTGATTCTTCTCCAATTCTTCTATTCCACACACACACACACACACCAATATTTGCATCTGGGAAACAGCCATGGGTGTCCTGATTCTTGGACAGCTGTTTAGACCCTGGATTAGACCCTTTTACACCAAGTTCCCTCCTACCAAAAATCAAGAGTCTGGTACCACCTTTGGAGATTCACACATCTTCTTTGAAAGCTTCATTAGATGCTACTCTACAAGGTCCTCTTGATATTTAGCTATCAGAGGCCGACACAGTTCTCTAGACTGTTTTTCAACCTGGTCCTTTTAAGACAGTGTTTCTCAACCTTGAGAATTTTAAGACATGTGGACTTCAATTCCCAGAATCCCACAGCCAGCAATGCTGGCTGTGGAATTCTGGAGTTGAAGTCCACATGCCTTAAAATTGTCAAGGTTGGGAAACACTGTTTTAAGAGGAGTGGGCTGGGAAACACACTGGCCAGGATTTCTGGGAGTTGGAGTCTATCCATCTTAAAAGGGCCAAGTTGAAAACCCCTCTAGAGAACTAATGTTGGTCTCTGTTAGTTAAAAAGCAGGAGGACTCTCGTAGAGTAGCATGTAACTCTGCTTTTTAAGGTCCCAACCATCTACTTGTTCTTCTAGTTGAGAGAAGTTTTAGCAATGAAGAGAAGTGGCCAGGATAAAAGTGGGCAGGGGTTGACATCTGTGCAAAAGAAGGATGCCACAATCCGTGGACTTTATCTTCTCTCTCGCTCTGTTTATTGTGATCATCCCAGTTAGGTTTTTACCGCTCTAGAGTACAACGAAGAGCTCCTGTTCCATTTCCCCCCATCTAGGGAAGACAAAATAATACAAAATTTTGGTACTTACAAGTTCATATACCCTGGGGAACGTGTAACTACCCAAAACAGGAGAGGTTTCTACAAGACATGCCTTTGGAACTGGGTGTAAATTCATCTCAACCAGCATTGTAACTCCACAAGGTTGAACAGGTCAATGCAGATCAAGTATCAGGCTGAAAGGTTTGATTATTCTGTGTCTTGTGTATTTCTCACACAAACTGTTAATGCCCATAAATCTTAAATTGGCATAAGTAAAGAATAAAAAAATGTTCCTTTTTATTTCCCAGGCATCACGAAAATGGCCACCTGTCTTTTATTTAGTGAAAATATACCCAGGAATGTCCTAAAGAGTTGATAATATATTTTGCATAGCTAAGAATCCTATTTTGCCAGCCCTTGTCCTGTGACAGACTGTACTTGGGTGCACTTTTATTGCTAGAAAAATAGCCAGGATTATAATATTTTAATATATTTAATATGATATTTGCCTTTATTCATGAGAATTACAGTAGCCCAATCAAGTCCAAACAAAGCCATTTTCTTTTCTTTTTTTCTTTGCAAAGAGGTATCTTCATTAAACTTTATTTGGCTCCCTGACTATAAATGCTGCACCCTTTAAGTCAGCGGAGGAATCTTTAAACCAGTCAGCAGGTAAAATGGAAAAAGAAGATGCACATTTAAGTGGAGATTTAGTTTCTTGGTTCATAATGCTTCCAAGGACAATGAGCAGGCGGGGGGGGGGGAAATGTTTTACATAAAAACATTAAATGTTCATTTGCCTTCTCTCCGGCTTCTTAAAATGTAAAAAAACAGCATGGGCTGATGCCACCGGCAGTAAAATAAAATCTTCTTTCTTTTAGGGAGCTGTTGCACCCTAAATGCTTTCTTGGACATTTTTCCTTGCTAAGCTTCTTAGCTGAGTAATTTCAGGGCAAGGATCCGAGAGCAAAAATTACACGCTCATTAATAGCCTGCTGCAAATGTCCTTAATCTCCTTTTTTCTGCTGTCCCAGATGCCCCTTAGTTCTTTTTTTTTTTTTTTTTTTCCCCCAGCAGCATGGATGAGGGCTACGTGGAGATGCAGAGCAAATGTGAAATGCAGGGGACACAGGGAAAAAAAGAGAGAGAGAGACAGCAGGATTGACTTGTTTGGCTAAGGCTACGCTGCTTCTGCTTCAACGTTATTTTTGGAACTGCTAAACTACGGTGGGTTCCTGAGGTTATTTGTTGTTATTTACTTTATTTTATTTAGATACTGCCTTCATTTTTATTTTGTAAGCAACTCAAGGTGGCAAACGTATCTAACACTCCTTCGTCCTCTGATTTCCCCCGCAACAACTCTGTGAGATGGGTTGAGAGAAGGATAGTCACCCAGTCGGTTTCTGTGCTTAAAGTGGAACTAGAAATCGCAGTCTCCTAGTGATTGGACCAAAGTCACCCAGCCGCCTTTCATGCATAAGCAGGACTAGAACTCACCATCTCCTGGTGATTGGACCAAAGTCACCCAGTCAGCTTTCATGCCTAAGGCAAAACTAGAACTCACCATCTTGGTGATTGGCCCAAAATCACCCAGTCAGCTTTCATGCCTAAGGCAGGACTAGAACTCAGTCTCCCAGCGATTGGCCCACAATCACCCAGCCAGCTTTCATGTCTAAAGTGGAACTAGAACTCATGGTCTCCTGGTTTCTAGCCTGATATCTTCACCACTAGACCAAACTAGCTCTAGATCAGTGGTTCTCAACCTGTGGGTCGGGACCCCATTTGGGTCGAACGACCATTTCACGGGGGTCGCCAAACAAGGCTGTCCGCCATTTTTTCCTCCTTTTCTTTGTCCACGCCCCTGGCATCCAGTGATGTATAAGTGGTTGGGGGTCACCACAACATGGGGAACTGTATTATGGGGTCGCGGCATTAGAAAGGTTGAGAACCGCTGCTCTAGATTATGCCTAGATATGTTGTCTGAACCCAGTCGATGATTGGGTGAGGTAAATTTAGATCATGTTAGCATGATGTAGTTATGAGGTAAAAATACTGACAGATATTAAAGGTTTTGGAGCAGAATCCTGGAATCTGGAACCCTCCATCTTTGCCTCAGACTAACACCAATTGCTTTAGTGATGAATGGGGCTAGAAACTAGAGTTTAGCAAGAGTTGGTCTAGATCAACATTTCTCAACCTTGATACCTTGAAGATGTGTGGACTTCAACTCCCAGAATTCCCCAGCTGGCGTGGTTTAAGTCATGTTGCTATGCTGGCCGGGGAATTCTGGGAGTTGAAGTCCACATATCTTCAAGCTACCAAGATTGACTGAGCTGGCTGCAAACATTGATGGAGTTAGCAGAGATGGCTAAATTGATTGGCTTTGATCAAAGTAAAAAAAAAAAATATTACAAATTACTTTTGTTTCTGCTTGGAAACCGCTTCTGGACTTTGTGCTTGAGATGGGGGAAAAAAATGAAACTTTGATTTTGAGTTTTAACAATTACATAGGTTTTGGCTAGTTTATGCTATTATATAAAAGTAAAAAGTTGAGGTTTGGTGTTATCTTATTTTATTGCACCAAATAAGTCAATGCCTTTCTCCCCCCCCCTGCCTACTTTTCCTACATTTCCCCTCCCCTTCTCCCTCCCTTATTTTTCTAATATTTTCTTTGGTAATTTTGTATGTTATATTATAAGCTAATAGAAAAAGAGATAAACAGTGATCTACATGATCCATACAATCCTTTCCAATCCAGCCTATGATTCTACCCTCTAAATCAGTGGTTCTCAACCTGTGGGTCGGGACCCCATTTGGGGTCGAACGACCATTTCACGGGGGTCACCAAACAAGGCTGTCCGCCATTTTTCCCCCCTTTTCTTTGGCCACGCCCCTGGCACCCGGTGATGTATAAGTGGTTGGGGGTCACCACAACATGAGGAACTGTATTATGGGGTCATGGCATTAGAAAGGTTGAGAATCACTGCTCTAAATAGCTACAGATTCATCCTCCTTTGCAGGTAATTGCTTAGCAGGGAGAACCAAAACATTTTTTTAAGCAGAAACACAGTTTCAGCTCTACATATTTGTGTCTGTTCTGAGTCACCTCCACACTATTTTCACATTTTGTATCACAACTGTTTTGGAAAAGGGATCCTCTGGCCTTCCAGCATGATCAGACAAAAAAAATCTCCTTGCACAAAGAATTTCTAAAACAGATCAGTTGCTCAGCTGGAAAAGAATGCAGATGTTTTAAACAAGACACAAAATACCACTCCGCTTATCTCCGCTTATACCGAGCAATGTGGAAGGCTGCTGGAGATGTTACCTGGCAAATCTTTTCTTCTTCTTTTTTAAATCAAGAGTTTTTCCTTGGGATATAAGAGAAGTAAATTAAACTAAACCCACCAGGTAACTGCATAATTAGATCCTAGCCCTTCCTTCCTAGTGAAGGGAGATTGCAAGGCGAGCTGAGGACCAGCAAAAAAAAACCCCACCACATTTGCATTTAAAAGCAACATATCAACCCAATATCCAAGGGCAGAAGATAGCCTGGGAGGGGGGGCAAATACTTCACACTAAGCAAGGTTGCAAATGACTTTACATTTGCTGAGACCTAAGTAGAATTTCAGAGGACCCCTGAAAATATTTGCACAGTCCCCAGGAGAAACACAGCAGTTATTTTATTATCTGCGGTTGCAGACAAAAATAAAAATAAATCAACATTGTTTTTCCTTGTTATACTGCTGCTTTATCCATTTAACCCCTTGATTTCAAACAGCAAATTAACCTTTTTTTTCCCTTTCTTTCTTTATCAATCCTTTACGGACTTTCTCCGAGACAAACCCATTTCACACAACCCCAATATATCAGCTGGGGTGCAGCAGGAATTTTTTTTTAAAAAAAATAAAAATAAATGGCCCTTCGAACCCCGGCAGGCCACCCTTTTAATTAAGCTTGATAAAGCCGACCCAAGCTGCATTACAACTGTAAAGACTTTAAGTCATTAGATATAATTTTATCAAGAAGGCTAAACCCTTCTAAAGCTGGATAAGTTGCAAATAATCACGTATCTCCTGTTAGGAGAGCGTGGAAAAAGAAAGAAATAAGGTTGGAAAAGTTAGTACAGAGACTTGGGTGTCTCACCTGAGCGTTGCAAGGCGGAAACCTTGGTGGGGACGAGGAGAGAAAGGGGTATAGAGGAAAGAAACCAGGGAATAAAAAAATTGGATGTGAAGAATTGGGTACCATGCCAATGCCTTAAGGAAGGGAGGCGGTGATGTCAACTGTCACGGTCTATATTTTACCCACTAATCCAGGATGGGGAGGGGGCCACATGGTCAAGGCAACTTTAGCCAAGATGTCCACCATGCTGGCAGTGAGTCATTAATCCACTTTTCCGAACGTCCATTGCAATTAGGTTGATCGCCTCCCATAGAGACTCCAGCGTGGCGGGACCTTAGTAGGCCATGTGAGCAGGTCCAGATGCCCAGGAGAGAATGGAGAAGATGAACGAGGCCTTAAAGGAACACGGGAATGGATGCTTTGGAAGAACCATAACCTGGGCAGAAGATTGGATGGAAGTCCTGTCCCTGACAATTTGATTTCTACAACATCTGCAGATCTTTCTTAGCAGGCCATGTGAGCTGGTCCAGGTGTCCAGGAGAGAATGGAGAAGATGTTAAAGGAACATGGGAATGGATGCTTTGGAAGAACCATAACCTGGGCAGAAGATTGGATGGAAGTCCCATCCCTGAGAATTTGATTTCTACAACATCTGCAGATCTTTCTTAGCAGGCCATGTGAGCTGGTCCAGGTGTCCAGGAGAGAATGGAGAAGATGAATGAGGCCTTAAACTTAAAGGAACACAGGAATGGATTCTTTAGAAGAACCATAACCTGGGCAGAAGATTGGATGGAAGTTCAGAATAACAGAATTGGAAGGGACCTAGGTGGTCTTCTAGTCCAACCCCCTGCTCAACCCTCTACCATTTCAGACACATGGCTGTCCAGTCTTTTCTTAAATAACCCCCAGAGAAGGAGCGCCAATGACTTCTGGAATCCCATTCCTGAGAATGTAATTTCTACAACATCTGCAGATCTTTCTCCCAGATGTTCTGCAAAAGTCCACGTTTCAGCACCATCTGTCTTTTTGGCTCCTTCCAAGATGTCGAATCTTTCCTCTTAATCAGGACACTCTTTTTTTCTATCCACCCTTTGTAAAATCACTTTTTTCTTTTTTTTCATTTGGTCTTTCTAGAGCAACGTTTGTCAATCTTGGCATCTTTGGAGAGGCCTGGAGTTCAACTCCTAGAATTCTCCAGCCTGCATGCCTCCACACATCAGCTGAAGAGTGAAAAAAAAAATCTCTCCAATGTGCCATTGCCACCCAGTCACCTTTCATGACTTAGGCAGAACTAGAACTCACCGACTCCTGGCGATAGACCCAAAGTCACCCAGTCACCTTTCATGACTTAGGCAGAACTAGAACTCACCATCGCCTAGTGACCGGCTCAAAGTCATCCTATTGACTTTCATGCCTCAGGCAGAACTAGATCTCACCGCCTCTAGCCAGGTGCTTTAACCACTAGACCAAACAGGATCTTTTTCACCTTTTCCCTTTTTTTCCCCCCACTGGAATCCTGCAGGCAACTTAGGCTAAATGTTCTTAAAAAGTGGCAGGGAAACAAGTATTCTGCAAAAACCGTAATCCTGGAAGCTGCGAAGCGATGCGCTTTGGAGAAAAAAAACGAATTTTCCAGCCGGACACAATACAGAGGTCAATCTCCGTGAGCGGGTGTGAAGGGGAGGGTTGCGAAATATCGGACAGGGTGGGTGGGAGAGTTGCATTGGACAAAGATGGCCTGTGATTTATTTATTTTTTTAAAAAGACATCAGGGCAAGGAAGTGTTGACCCCCCCTACACACACACACACACGAGTGGGAGGGGAAAAATAAATAAATTAAGGAGTCCAAAGGAAATAAAAATGGTCCTTATAATCCGCTGCCCGAGGAATCCACGTGCTAGTTGATGAGAAGACATCGGTCTGGAAATAACCGCAATCTTTTCCTTGGTCAAGTGCACACAAACACACTCACCCCTTATAATTGTAATACGGAGCGGGATTAGGGTCACACTGTCAGGACAATTAATTTACCACCAGCCACCCCTCATTAAGGGAATGACAGCCAGGGGACGGGAGGGGAGGGGGTGGTGCTAAGCGTCCTTAATTGAAAATCCCAGCCCTAAAATAGAACTGGACGGATTAGGGTGGCAGCGAAGGGGACGAGGGACTTCAGCAGGACGGGTCAACGGCCGGCAGGAGAAGGCAGACGGGACCCCCTTCCTCCCCCTTGCATTTTGGAAGGTCAACTTCTTCCAAAGCTCTCCCATCCAGGCAAAATGGGTCCTTGCTGTCCACCCCTAGGCCATCTGCAGGGGATCGAATAAGGGATATGGGTGGTCCTTGCCTTTACGACCGCAGTTGAGCTCAGAGTCTCCGTTAAGTGAGGTTTGCCCCCATTTTATGAACTTTCGAGCCACGGTTGTTAAGCGAAGCATGCGGTCGTTAAGTGAATCTGGTTCCCCCATTGACTTGCTTGTCAGAAGGACGCCAAAGGGGATCATGTGACACACACCCCAGGATGCTTCCACTGTCATAAATATGAACTAGTGGCCAAGTGTCTGAATTTTGATCCCGTGATTAGAATAGAATAGAATAGAATAGAATAGAATAGAATAGAATAGAATAGAATAGGAAATAGGAATTGGAATAGGAAATAGAAATAGAATAGAATAGAAAATACAGAATGGAATAGAATAGAATAGAATAGGAATAGAATAGAATAGAATAGAATAGAATAGAATAGAATAGAATAGAAGGAATGAAGAATAGAATAAGAATAAATAGAATAGAAGGAATGAAGAATAGCATAGCACAGCATAGAATAGAACAGAACAGAACAGAGTAATGGAATGGAGTAGAAGGATAGAGTAGAATAGAATAATGGAATGAAGTAGAAGAATGGAATGGAATGGAATGGAATAGAATAGAATAGAATAGAATAGAATAGAATAGAATAATGGAATGGGGTAGAAGAATAGAATAGAATAGAATAGAATAGAATAGAATAGAATAGAATAGAATAATGGAATAGAATGGAATGGAATGGAATGGAATAGAATAGAATAGAACAGAATAGGAAATAGAATAGAATAGAATAGAATAGAATAGAATAGAATAGAATAATGGAATGAAGTAGAAGAATAGAATAGAATAGAATAGAATAGAATAGAATAGAATAGAATAGAATAGAATAATGGAATAGAATAGAATAATGGAATAGAATGGAATGGAATGGAATGGAATGGAATAGAATAGAATAGAATAGAACAGAATAGGAAATAGAATAGAATAGAATAGAATAGAATAGAATAGAAAGCTGGAAGGGACCTTGGAGGTCTTCTAGTCCAGCCCCCTGCTCAAGCAGGAGAACCTATACCATCTCAGACAAGTGATTCTCCAGTCTCTTCTTTAAAACCTCTAGTGATGGAGCGCCCACGATTTCTGGGGGTAAGCTGTTCCACCGGTGAATTATCCTCACTGTTAGGAAGTTTCTTCTTAATTCCAGGTTGCTTCTTTCTTTGATCAGTTTCCAACCATTGTTTCTCGTTCTGCCCTCTGGTGCTTTGGTGAATAACGTGACCCCCCTCTTCTTTGTGGCAGCCCCTCAGATACTGGAATACTGCTATCACGTCTGCTCTATTTCTTCTTTTCTTGAGACTAGCCAAACCCAAGTCCTGCAGCCGTTCTTCGTACGTTTTAGTCTCCAGGCCTTTAATCATCTTAGTTGCTCTTCTCTGATTCTTTTCCAAACTCTCAACATCTTTTTTGTGAGATGGTGACCAGAACTGGCTGCAGTATTCCAGGTGTGGTCTTACTAGGGCTTTATAAAGCGATGCTGCAAAGGTCGTAACTGTGAAAAACGGACCTGTTGTAAGTCGGGGATTATCTGTATGGCAATCTTGCAAGCAAGCGCATGACCATCACTATAGATGACCCTAATGGGTTATGGACCTAATGATGCTAACATTGAGAGGATATAAGAATCCCTAAAACGGATGTCTTCTATTCAAAAAGAAGTGTTAAACTCCCTTATCTGTGGAATACAGATAATAAATACCATATCTCATAGTGCTGATATAAATAACGTTCAGAAAAGTGCTCTATGACTGGTGTGAAATTCTGGGAATCGAAGGCTATCCATCTTAAAACATTCCCCGGCTGGGGAATTTTGAAAGTTTGAAGTCCACCCATGTTAAAGCATGCTGGCTAGAGAATTCTGGGAGTTGAAGTCCATCCATCTTAAAGCATGCTGGCTGGGGAATTCTGGGAATCAAAGGCTATCCATCTTAAAACATGCCTGCTGGGGAATTTTGGAAGTTTGAAATCCACCCATCTTAAACTACGCTGGCTAGGGAATTCTGGGATTTGAAGTCCATGCATCTTAAAGCATGTTGGCTAGGGCAGTGGTGGTGAACCCACCCTCAGAGCCCTCTCTGTGGGCACGCGTGCCCTCGCCATAGTCCTAGGCCTTCAGCTGGGTTTTATAAAACCTTTTCGCTTTAGGCCTCCGCTGCCATGTGCAAAAAAAAAAAAAAGGTTCAATCAGTCAATTTCAACTTCTCACGGGGAAAAAAAAAGATCTTGCAAAATTGGAATTGATTGATTGAACTTTTTAATCCCACCTAGTCTGCCGTTACCACCGCAGCCACACCCACCCAATGGGCCACACCCACCCAATGGGCCACACCCACCCGGCACCCGACAATGCATAAGTGGGTTTTGGGTTGCAGTTTGGGCACTCGGTCTCTAAAAGGTTCACCATCACTGGGCTAGGGAATTCTGGGATTTAAAGTCCATGCATCTTAAAGCATGTTGGCTAGGGTATTCTGGGAGTTGAAACTCACCCATCTTGAAGTTGCCACGGTTGAAAAACCCTGTGTTAGATTTTGGGGGAAAGGTCCCTAGCTATCTCCTGGCCTCTCTCTTGCAAGCCTGCATCTGTACGTTCCAAATGACCTCTGTGAGCTAATAATCCTGGAATTACAGTTGCCCTTTATTCCAAGCGCATATTTCAATTATGGCATGAAGCAGCAGCGAGGACCTGGCATCCAGTCTTGGATTCTAGAGCAGCAGGTCCCGACGTATTAAAAACGCAGATGAAAATGGATTTCCAGCAAAGCTTAATCCAACTCCCAATTTTCACAGCAAACCCCCCCCCCCAAAAAAATTAGGCTGCCTGCAATTACACACTTACAATTTAATTTGTCCAACAGGCTTAGCTGGGAAATTGTAAAAGGGGGGGCGGAGTTTGAAAGAAAAAAGTGGGGAAAAAGAGTGAGAGACATGTGGGGGGGGGGTGCATGAAATAAATAAGCATTTAAAAAAAAAGTATCGCCTTGCAAACAGAGTCTCCACTGGGAAGAGGAGAGAAAAAGATATTTTTGGTGGCGCTGAGAGACAGAATCAGGCAAGTGGGTGACATCGTTTGGGGCATCTTTACCAGCCGGGCTGATGGGGGTGTCTGCGTTAGGGGTCAAAAAAGTCAAAATGGCAGCTGGGACTGGCCCATCAAAGGCCCCCCCCCCTTTCTGGGTGCATCGCATGTTCCACGCACCTTTAAAAGGGAGCAAGTTTTCAATCACGCATGATCCTCGTTGTCAGCTTCTTAAAATCCCCTTGGCAATTTTACTGGAAATTATCTAAAAATATTGTAGGTCTTGAGAACACCTGTGCAAGGATCGGCTGATGGAAAGTGGGCGATTCAGGCTGGAGAAAAGATGGGAGTCCAGACATAATATTAGTGTTATGTCCTTGACTTATGACCAGAATGGAGCCTGCACATCATTGTTATAAGCCGTGATGGTCACAAAATGGGTTGCTCATGAGCCTGACTCAAATGTTGTGACTTTTGGGCAGCAGTCATTAAGAAACTCACCTTGGTTATTAAGCAAAAACCACAGTCATTAAGTGAATCTGTAGCCTTTAGAATGATATTCTTGCACAGGGCTGGGCTAGATGACCTTTGCAGTTCCCTTCTAATCTCTACAGCAGGGCTAGGCAACCTTGGCTCTTTTATGACTCGTGGACTTCAACTCCCAGAATTCCTGAGCCAGCCATGAAAGGGAGAGGTTTCCATGCTGAGCCAGGCTGGCTCAGGAATTCTGGGAGTTGAAGTCCACCAGTCATGAGGGGGCCAAAGTTTCCCTCATGCTGGCTCAGGAATTCTGGGAGTTGAAGTCCACCAGTCATAAAAGAGCCCAGGTTGCCCACCCCTGCCCTAGGCCTAAGCCACTTTATGACTGGTGGACTTCAACTCCCAGAATTTCTGAGCCAGCCACGCTGAGGGGAAAGGGAGAGGTTTCCAAGCTGAGCCATGCTGGCTCAGGGATTCTGGGAGTTGAAGTCCATGAGTCATGAGGGGGCCAAGACTGCCTACAGTATTCTGATTCTCTTATATAAAGCCAGTAGGTTTTCCTCAATTGTATGAATGACCTGCTTTCCTGCCTGCTTATACTGAAATTAAGCCTCTCTGGC